GCTTGCTTCCGATACGCTTCGTCTCTTCCCTGACTCAGGGGTCATTGAACTTGACCAAAAATTCCAGAAAAGTTCCAGATAATACTTGTCCAAGGAAGATTTTGCAGGCACCAGTAAAGACGAACGGAAACTATCGAAAGACTATCAAACTGTCAGTCTAGTCTCATAAACTGTCAATGTCCAGCTTTTTCTACGCTAAACCTCACGCTGTCCGTCAAAGACTTTCAGAAACGCTTTGTATTAACCGACGCGAAAACTAAAACACTGATTGGCGACTCACAAATCCTTTATTTTTACTCCAACACATAACCAACAACAATGTCATTACAGAAGGTTTCTGATAGTTTTTAATCTTCCTTCTGAACGGCGAACGATGAGACAATGACTGCCGGGTTGATGACCTGCGAAAATTATGGGGAAGTTGGGTTTGAGCAAACGACTGTGAATTGATCGTTCAATCTTCAAATACATTGACACAAGTCATGTATTCATCAAATCGCCACACTACGGATCATCATTGAACAAAGCTTGGAATGGCAGTCACCTCTCCACCTCACTCAACTTCATCGACTTTGAAAAGGCCTTCGACAGCGTCGATCGAGAGGCGATTTGGCAACTACTTCGCCACAACGGGGTGCCGCCGATAATTATATATCTCATTCAAAAGTTGTACAACAATGCTGCATGCCAAGTAATCCACAACGGGAAACTTACGGAATCCTTCGAAGTGAAGACGCGAGTAAGACAAGCTGGCTGCATACTATCTCCAATGATTTACCTGATTGCGGTAGATTGGATAATGCGACAGGAAGCAGGCAATTAGGAAAGAGGCATAAAATGGATCTCAGGTGGGTGGACTCACACAAATAACTCGGAGGATCTGGATTTTGCCGATGTGATATATGTCTGATTTCCAAGGAACTGGAAGATATGCAAGCGAAAAGCAACAATTTGGCAGAAGATGCGTCACAGATGGCATTTCACTTCAGGTGAACATAGAGAAAACAGGGGTGATGAAGATTCCTGGCCACCAACAACACCAACAGCAACAACGATAACTGACAGTAATCAGCATAAAAGGAAGGAACCTGAAAGAAACAACCTCCTTTACCGACCCAACTGGAAAGCATCGTTTCAACTACCGACCGACGGAACTGACGAGGATATCAAAGCAAGGATTGAGAAAGCAAGACAAACTTTCATTACTCTATAGTCTGTGTGGAGGTCAACAGCACTAAGCATCAAAAATAAGATCCGGATTTTCAACTCCAATGTGAAGTCAGTCAGTGCTACTATACGGATCAGAGACTTGACCAGCGCGTCATGAGAAGCACCTCAAACAAACTGCAGACCTTCCTTAACAGTTGTCTTCGCTCAATACTCAAGATCAGATGGCCAGAAAAGATCAGCAACGGGGTCTCTGGCAACGAGCGAACCAACCAGGAACCGACTGTGCAATAAATAGGCAGGAAGAAATGGAGATTGATTGGCTAGCCATACTCTTAGGAAACCATCAAGTGAGTGACATCACTAGAGAGGCCATCGCTCGAGTGGAACCCGAAAGGGAAGCGGCGAGTTGGACGTCAAAGTGTGACTTGGAGGAGGTCATGAGAAGAGGAAATGAAAGTGTGTGGGCAGAATTGGAGCGGGGCGAAAAAGTTGGCAGAAAACCGAAGGCAATGGAGACATTTGGCTGAAGCCCTGTGTTCCTCTAGGATTGAAAGGATATAATAATGATAAGTTCGTGAGATTCAGTCTGTTTATTAGTTTCTCATACAGTGACTCAGTCATACTGAGGATCATCAACATATTTATTTTTCGAGTTCTTTTCATCGGTTGTGAGCAGTCTTTCACTTTTGGCCGTCTGGCTACATTTTTTAGTTACCTGAAGAATGGCAGTTATATCACTCTTGGTTCAAGTAAAGACTTTATGTGGGGATTCTAATTTATTTATACTGAAATCTGACAGCGTAGGTAAAGAGCGATGCACTTGTTTGTTTGCAGTAATGCCTAATAATTCACCTACTCTTCTCCACCTCTGCATTTTATGCCGGTTAAAACCTTGTTGAGTCCCAAACAGTACATTTGCATCATTTAATACTAAATGTTATAATGTGCACACTGTAGATAAAATTTGTTTAATCCACTGCTTGGTATAAGATGACTTTTCCGTTCACGCACGGAGACTATCTAAACTTCAGAAGCTGCCACCAATCCTCAGGAACTATCAATCACGTCTCAGAAACCGTTAATGCCTAGCTGTTGCTACGCCGGGCGTCTGGCTGTCTCTCGAAGCCTTCAGAAACTCCTAGTAGTAACGGACGCGAAATCCAGATGATAGATTGGCGACTCGAGCATTCTTTATTCTAACGCCAACATATTTTTTTGATTACAGCTTAATTCCACACTGTATTTTTGGTACAAGTATGGAATTTTCAGCGTGGATATCGGTAGCCCGAATGTTGCAGGCCGACCATAGATACCAGGTGCGCGTCGGCGTGGACTCGAACCCCGGACCATGCGCGTGGTCGGCGAGAGTCCTAACCACTGTGCCACCGACGCATATATCCAGCATAATAAACTAAGGTCTATGAACAAATATTACAATAATAAATCACGGTATTACTTCTGACGGTATTTCTACGTTCTTTCTGAACGACGACCGATGAGGCTTTTACTGTATGTGAGTGCTACGTTTCATTGCATTCGGTGTCAGCACTGAGGATTAGGCGATTGAAATTTCATTCAGTACCGCTAATGTCAACCTTAGGATACCGCAATAACGCCTGTATTCGCTATCGATTCGATATCATGAGGGAATAACATATGTCTGTAGGATAATAATCTTCTGTGGATCAGAGAAATTCATCAGTTCTGTTGAACTTCTGCACTTTGGTCTTCAACGATCAGTAAGTTTTAGTGTGATGATTGAAACACGTGGCAGACCATTAGTTTCCCGAGGGACAATACGGCAGTTGCTGCGTTACTGCGCGATTCTGTATCTCTACGTTCACTTTAAACTGTCGTTAATGACTACATTCTGTTAGGCCCTAAATATGACAATATCGACTGACTATTTGGGGTGGCATTATATGAACCAACGTTCCCATCGAAATGATCACCCGAATCACCAACCAACAGCTAATATCGTTGCAGAACACCACGTCTGATTTTAGGCGTTTATTTCCGAAAGCTTGGCAGGGTGTGGGTGATGCGGGAGACATATTCAACCACACGGAAGGTCATTCATCATTCAGTAGGTTGGGAAAACCCAACAGATTATAAATAACCTATATTTACTACCCGGTTACTAATCCTTCCGAATGCCTTAATCACCTACTACATGACTGGCCAGAGCACACTTTTGTTTGGGCCCAACGTCAGTCCCCCTCCTTTGGGAATTTCGGTCTGATAGACCCAATTTCCGGTACCATATTCTGGGGTTTCTAACGAGCGCACTTGTTTTTCATTGATGGGGCTAGAGTTGAGCTCAACTAGCACTATTGCATGGAGATGGAACCAGGTGGAGACAGCAGGCAAAACTTAGGTAAGTCAAGAGAGGGGCTATGTGACTAACTGCAGTGAGCCAGCTAACTAACACCACCTCCGAAAAGTAGGTCATTGTCTGCCCCTGGGGACCTTTGCAACATGAAAGAGGTAGGAAGGAAATAACTACATAGTTAGGAATAAATATATATTATTATATTATATTGACTCAGTCTACCACGATGAGGAGTATCATATTCTATCTCACTCTCTGCTGAATTTTCCTTCATGTACTGCTTGACATGTGGCATGTCGTATGGCTGAGGTGAATAGGGATTTGTGGCACTCCATAATTTCGGAGTGGTTTCTAAATTTTTCACATTCAATACTGTTGAATGCCTTTTCGAAATCGACGAAGTTGAGGTAGTGACTTGACTTCCATTCCATGCTCCGTTTTATGGTGATTCGTTGAGTTTATATTTGATTCTCACATGGTTTGCTACTCCTGAACCCAGCTTGGTCGGCAGAAGTTCTGCATCTGGAGCATCTTTTAGTCCCTCTATAATGGCGTTACTAAACATTTTTCTTGATGTAGGAAATAGCATGATTCCGCGTCATTCGCGGAAGCGAATGGACAATTTTTATCTAATATTCAAAAATAAATATGTTAAGCTAGGGATCGTGCAGGAACGAGCGGGCGTGGCATGACCGGAAGTCTTCAGCCGAACAAGTTGACTTGGACAATGAGGGGCAGCATCCAATATTCAGTGATGAATGCCGTGGTCAATAATTCTGGAGAATTACATACCACTACTACGTCATCCCAACTTCTGTTCCTTTTCTTATTTCCAGTTAGTCGCCACTTCTAGACTACTACTCACATTACGTAGTACGTTTTCGAGGATAAATCTCACCAATAACTGACTGGTCTTACGAATTCTTTACTAAACACAATTGCGATTATACAGCTTATGAAAATTAATTATCGAAAGAGAAATTTCCTTTGCTATTTACGTACTTTTCTTATAATTACAGAGATGCCAGTGTTATTTTTAGGCAGACTACAGCTAGGTGAAGTAGCAGCTAGGGTTACGGTTAGAAGACTAAACTGACTTTCCATTTGTACGGCTTGTTCCAAAGTCACTAGTGCTTTCAATCCTCTTCCGTGCCATAAGTTAAACTTTGCCGATTTATTGGTCGTCTCAAAGATATTGAGGAGGAAATGAACCCTCCAGTTCTAACAACGAGTCGCAGTCTGTCACAGTCAGATTCTCCATTAGGGAACATGCCCATATATGAAATTGGTGTGTGAGTCCAACATGTAGTTGCTTAAGCAAATCCAACGTGGAGTGACTCCTACTCCATGTCGCCTGTAACAGTATCTAACAGTTTACGCACGCACACATACACTAGAAGCACGGTGAAAAAGGCCGCTTAAAGGACCAGCATTAGTTCTATCACTTTTTATGCTTCCAAAGAATGAGCACATTGGATATTGATTTAGATGATTTTGTGGATTATTGCGCGGCTTGTCTGAAGGTGTTGCTACTATCTATGGCTAACTGTTATGTATGGTGATTTCCATTAATGTCTGCAGGAGAAGAAACTCATTCTCAATGTAACGTGACTAAAATACCGAAGATTTGTGTGGACAACAATTTGGAGATGGTCGATTGCTATGATGGCGGTCTGTGTGGGAAATCTGAGGAGGATTATTATATTGCCGAGGAGCAGACGTTTGGTATTAACGTATGAAATGAAATATTCTCTTTAATTAAGCTAATAGGAATTGTCTTACTTATCACGTCTATCATGTGCTAGTAACCACAAGAAGTTCCTACTGGCTGTTGTGCTTCTTTCTCAGTGCAGTGAGGGCTACCGCCACGCCACACTGCAGTGGTTAAACAATACCACGATGGAATCAAGTGAAGGTTCAGACCAAGTTTTTTCAGGTGACTAGTTTACATGAAGTAGATCTTATTTTATTTCCCTCACAAGCTTTCAGCATTTATTTAACTTCATAACAATGAATGTTTCTGCGAGCAAATAAGTGTGAATTCAGCGTATATAACCTTATGTTGGTCTAACTCTATGTTTCTCCTAAGTTTATATTGTTTACATCCGAGCAATATGTAAAATTTTGACGTGGCATTTTCGCATTCATGATTTAATCAACGCACAAGGCAATATTCTGTGTAAGAAGTGAAACCAGCAAGCATAAATCGTGGAAATCCGATCACTTGATATCTTGAGCAATTAGGAATTAGAATATCGACCCGAAGTGTTTGCTTCTTGGTGACACCCACTCAACGGGCAATTCCTTAAGGTTGATGATTCTCCGAAGAATGGTAAATTTCTCTAAGCGTATAACGTTTGCACCTGTATCTTTCAGGTGATTAGTTTGTAGACTAGCATTTTGGGTGGGACTGAAGGGAATCGCGTATATAGCTATCCACTTAGGTTATTCAGTTAACTCTAAATGTGTCTTCATCTGGAATAGTAGTGGTGTCGGCTTAGTCTAAATTGGAGGCTTTTATTTCCAGATAGGAATTTAAAACAAGCAACAAAGGTTAATAAAGTAGAATTGAATGAATGATTCATTTAAAACCATCTTTTGTCGTTAAGATTATCTTAACTTCAGCATTATTATTATTACCATAATAACTATTACTATTGATATTACTGTTTGAAATTCTTGATATATTCTTTAATGACTAATTGTTTATCTAAGTGATGTAATTGAAGCGTAATGCCTTCTGTTTTAATTTTAATCTCTCATACTCCCCTCCCCCTAATCTATTTGAACATGAACTGGAAAACATTCGCACCTGTCTTTCTGCATGATTAACTCAATGTAGTTTATATGCCTATCAGTCTTATATCTCCCCATATATTCTCAACAGTGTATGTGTCCTCGTATTAAAGTATTCAGCTGAGGAAGAGTTCTACCGAAATTTGATAAATTCATTAAATCCTGCTGTATTAATCTTTGTTTAGTCTAAATTGACGGGAATTTTGTGGTAAAAGGTCCCATCCATCAATACATCTGTAACTTGAAATCAAACTAAAATGGGAACATTGAGCATCGTGGATGGACACCACTAGCCATCATCACTTCAAATGACGATTGTCCACCATTTATTCAGTGTAGTCATCAGGAAACATCGGCTCCCGTCGCTTGAGCATGTGCTACGAATGCCATCCCAGAGGCCTCCTTACCGGTCTCTGTTTTCTAGCTCTGGGTCGGGATGGAAGTAGGAGGCAAGTGGTCGGCTCATGACATGGCGACGTGGGATGGAATATATTGGTGGCAGGTTGTGGGTTGGTGAGTCATGACTCCCTGGTTGGGGTCCGAAAAGTACCTCGACTCGGTGGCTCGGAACGTTATCGGATATGAACAAGAATCGCAATCAATAGTGAACGTGCTGCAATTTCTTTTTTTCTTCCCTTTCTGCAAATAATTCGACGAGTGCCGTTTGGTCCAGTTAAATATAACTATTTTATTCCCAGATGAAGTCCTTTATTGGTTCCCAATTTTTTGCGTAGGTTGTTTTATTATTATTGTATGATGCATCTTGGTGTCATATTGTACCAGATTTTGTGTTCCAAATAAAATAATAAAGGAAGCTCTTGCACGGCTGCCTGGGTCCAAGTAGAGTTGGCACCTTGATTAATGCGACACGCTTTCTCAGCACTCCCTTCATGACCAGACATTGCCACAGCACCCTTCAGTTGACAGATTCAAATGCTGCCTTCATTCCAGGAAATATGACAAGTGTTGGCTGGGGACAGTATGCCTACGTTACAGAATCTGTCAAAGTTTGAAGATAGTATCGATATATCCTGGTGTGGGCCTAAATCTTGACTGGTTTCTACTGGTCTCTTTCTCCATAGCATTGCTTAGTATACTCATGGTTACTGACTATGGCATATTACGTAGGACTTTGAGAACTGTGAAAAGGTTTAGTGGTGTGGCTTTGATCCAACTAACTGATATTGTTATTGACAAACATTTAAATTTGTTCCAACAATTGACTAAGGTCATTTTGCCGGATAGTAACCACCCTTCTTATTCACAACTTTCTGTTTGTATCGTTTCGGGAGTAACTAGAAGTAATTTCATTAGGATTTATACATGTGCTGTTAAGTGCAAAAGGTCAACCATTCTCTATTTATTACGGGGCTTGTATGAAGAAAGAAGTGATAGAAAACAACTAACAAACCTGCATTGTAATACATGAGTATAGAGCTACTTATTTCTGGGAACCATGCATTATCGTTACCCACATTAATGTAAATATCTCTGTGTTAATTAAATCCATTTGGTTAGTCATAATAAAGTTAGGTGTAGTGCGGACAAGGAAAGTAAGTTAACCAATTAAATTGTAAAGTTCCATCCATTGAAATAGCTAATGCGTTTGTCATGCATATCGAACCACTTTCTTCCTCGATGAAGAAACGTGGACGGAGATTGGATTTCTCTAGAAAAGAGTCAATAATTTCATCCACTGTATGAGAGCTGATAATATTACGTGGCTGCTGAGACTTTAGGGTTTCGAGCTCTTAAACCTATGTCCTTGTGCGTCGGTGGCACAGCGGTTAGGACGCTTGCCGACCATACACATGGTCCGGGGTTCGATCACCGGCCACCGACGCACTTCTTTACCACGCTAAGTCAGAAATAATGCTCGTAAAGAGAAAGGTTGGGCATGGGGCTAGAAACCCCATCCTGTAAAATTAACACTGCTACAGAAACTTCAAGCCACTAGCTTGAGGTCCTATGTTTGACTGGGAACGTGAAGGAAAAAAACCCAATGACTTACAGACTCACTTTAAATTCGATCAAATTACTCGTTTTCTAACGTATTTTTGTCCATTGATTTATGTTTTGTATTGTTGTGTGTTTTGTGAAACTTCTGTAACCGGTAATGTTGCATGTCTATGAGGTTATGCATTGAGCTTTCAGTTATTCATAAAATATATTGTGAAACATACACTTAATGCATACATTTTTACTCCATAGCATCAAATTTTATTATTATTGTTACATTCGCTTAGTGCTCGTGATCTCTTAAATGTATTCTGCTGTCAAAATCTTCAATTCGCCATTTGCTGTTTCTTTTCACATGGTTTGTTCCTGATCTTTTCACTCTAACCCTTTATGCAGCTCCGTTTGATCTATATAGACGACTCGTTTTGTTTTGCCATTCCTTATTCGAAAACTTTGTTTTGGTGTGTGTTTTCCTCATACGGTTTGTTTCCGATTGTGTGTTGACGTTATGAAGGAGAGAGTTTACGTAGTGATTAACGGAGAGAATCTTGATAAAGCCAGAAAAAGGCTGGTTTAATTTTCTATATTAGTTTGTTTATTAGATGTATCACACAGTGATGAAACAGTATTGTTCACTGGATGACAGTTTAAAACAAAATTTATTGTTCATAATAAGTCATATCAATTGTAATCACACGACTTCGAAAGTTGAGTTTTATAGCTTTCTTTGTCCTCACCTACTTTTCATGGTTGGGCCAGTAGAATTTCCCAGATATCTGAGACAGGTGTTGAATCATTCTTATTGCACGTATTCTCTCCAGTTGATCCGATAAACAAAGCTTCTGTTATCAATCTTTCCCTTCACCTTGTGACATTAGATTTTGAAACTGTCATCCCATCCATACTATTGTATAGTTGTGTGTAACTGCATGTAGTGCTATAGCTGAACTATTCTCTAGATTTCTGGTTTAATTTTGATATACTTTCTCTACTTGTTATGTGAACGTTAATCGTTAACTTCAAAATGTTGCTTAGGAATTAGCTTGCATTGATTCAGTCATTACAAGGGAAAGCCTTCACCAGATGTGTATTATCAAACACGCTTAAATTAATTCAAGAAAAAGTAGGCGAGGCATACCTAGTGATATATGTCACCTATTTATGAAGTCATGTAAGCTGCATGATTGATTCCCCAATATGTTAGTAATTAGGGATTGGGAGTCATTTGTTACTTTTTTAAGTGAATGACACTTGCGTAGGTAAATCAATCTGTCACGATCCTTTGTACTTCGCATAACTCTATACCTATTGGTTATCTCCTCTGTCACGTCCACAATCATTTTTTGTTTGCTTTCATTTGCTGGGTTTTATTTTTTTGTGTCAACTGAATTTTATCGCATGTTTGTTGTCTGTTATCGGCTTTATTATTACTATTATTACCAGCTTTTGTAGTTTAAAAGGCTGTTTAATAAACAAAGAATATTATTAATTATATTATTATTTAATAATACTTTGAGAAAGTTATTAGCATTAAATAGCGAAACGTCAGTAAAAACAATATCGTTTTGTTTTTCATTCATTGGGAAATCCAAAAAAGAACCTTTATTATATTGAACAAAGAATATTCTTTATAAATTATTTAAATTAATCCCAGCGTGCTAAGAAAATCAAAGCAAGATTTTTCTGAACGTTTCGCTGTGCAAGCCGCAACTTCTCCGTAACACCTACGGTCTGGAAACCTATAAAGAATATTCTATTCGATGAATTCGTCACCAGATTCTACATTTATATGACCATATAATAATAATTGGAGATATTGTTATTAACATCACTAATGTTTTAAGTTTCACCAAATCAGTGTTGTGGACTGATTATTTTTCGAAAGCATCACTAAGAGATAATATGTATTAACGTAACTCTAAACTGAATATCAGGTAAATTAAAGAGAGCAACTTAGAATTTATGAATTTATAGGCTTAAACAGCTGGCCAGGGTAGCAATAATGGATGAACCTGTTTCTTTTGCACACACAGAGTTCCCGCTGATTTAAGCGAATTATAATGGCCTCTGCTGTTTGGAGTTTTTGGTATAGTATATGGAAGCCTTTGGTAATTTATCTGATATTTGTTGCTAGCTATCTTTGCGGTCAGTTTGAACAAGGTGATTTAATCAATAGAGAACTGCTGACAGTTAAAAGAACATCCCTATTTAGCCACATTGGTTGGTAGGTATCCCCGAGCATAAACAATTATGTTTCTAGAGCAACGGCCATTATAATTGGCTCCACAGGAGCAGACGGATTGATAGATACAATCACGCGGTGATTCGCCTAGGTACTTGATCCTTCAGTTTCAAAACTCCAACTGGTTGTGTGGAAAATATCTAGTGCAGCTTACAGACATTAAACGTCCTTTGAATGGATTTCTTCAACTTGTTGGTTTTTATTTCACTTGGTATATCACCTTTGAATTGTAGTCATTGTTAACATACACAGAAGAATTCTTTTCTACCCTCTTGGCCATTTTTTTAGTGATAAACTTTTCCAGGTAACCGTTTTCACTCAATGTGTCATACGCAACCTTAAGTTTGTCTTCAATCACATCTTTTTAACAGTTAGTTCTAATCCTGTTCCTATGAGTTTTTACCGAATTTCGTTTATACTGGAGAGAAACAAAGATGTTTATTCTATGTAAAATGATTTCCAAAAAATGAAATGCATTTGATTGCGTTATTGTCTAGGTGTGCGTCGGTGGCACAGCGGTTAGCATGCTCGCTGACCATGCACATGGTCCGGGGTTCGATCACCGGCCACCGATGCACTCCTTTACCTCACTTATTCAGTAATAAGACTGGTAAAGAGGAAAGGTTGGACATGAGGCTAGCAACCCCATCCTGTAAAAAATAAACACTGCCACAGACACTTCAAGCCTCCAGCTTGAAGCCCTATGTTACACTGGGAACGTGAAGGAAATAAAAAAATTGTCCAGGTATTTGAAAACCCTCCTAACTTACTTTTCCGGTTTTTTGTTTTTGTATGTCTTGCTTCATGCAGATCCTGAAGAACATCGTTCAACTGTATTATCGTCAAATAGTGAATTGTTAGACAGGTTAAAAAAGTTTGGATTACAATGTAATGATAAATCATGTCAACACATACGTCATGATTCTGTTCCAAATAAGTTAGAAGATGATCATATCGAATTCTATGGCATTCCTCAGGCTAAAAATCTTACCAATGATATACCAGCAGACATTGAATTGATATCACAGAACTCTCAGAAAATTAAAAAACAGTACTTAGAACTAGTTAGCGAGAAATTCGTCTCTTCTCTTCTTGATGATTATGATTCGTTAATTAAAGAGATTCAGTGTAGTAATGCGCCATTACGTGAAGTAGCAGTTCAGACGTCTGTTGGTCAATTATTTATCGCTACAATTCTGCATACATCACTCAATGAAGATGATCGAAAATGGTTGTTATCTTCTATACAAAGTAAATACAAAAAAATGTCAGGAGAAGATAATCTGTCGCCGAAAGAGAATTCTATGGATGATGATCTACGCTCAAAATTGTTTGACTGTTTAATTGATCTTGGCTTAGATCTTTCTTGTGCATTGCAGCGTATGAAATCAGGTGGGAATATTTCATATATATATATATATATATATATATATATATATATATATACATTAAAGTGCTTTCAAAATCCAGAAAACAAAATGTATTGTCATCTAATGTCCTGCTGTTTGAATGTTTGAATTACCACGTAATAAAATGGTGGTCCTAGAATATAGAAGAGAGAAAAAAGCAAGGCACTATGAAGGATGTGTTACAGAAAGCAAAGACAGATTTGTTACAGGATTTCATCATGCGCTGACATTCGTTAGAGAACCATTGGGAAACCTGGGAGTCTTTGACCATAGGCGCCTGCGTTCTATCTCCCGTGTGAAGTGGTATAATAAGGTGAGCAATATTGAGGTTAGTCATCGGTCGAGTTAGGCGGGAGGGGAAATCAATCGACGAGGCTGTGAAGCTATATCGACTGAGATGGATCGGACATGTGTTACGTATGCCTAGTCATCGCCTTCCTCGACAACGGGCAATGTTAGCTGACATAGCGTCAGGCTGGAAAAGAGCTAGTGGCGGTCAAACCAAAACATGGCCTCACCAGTCAGTGAAATCCACAACAGTGGTTCTCTAACTGATATCAGCTCATGATTAAATCTTCCGTACAATCAAACAAAATCCCTACAAAACCAATACTTGAAAATCCACAACAGTTAGTTTAAGCCACATAGGAAGGTGTAGACTTCCGGGGTGGGGTCCCCGGGACGGTAAAAACCAATGGTTGGAAACAATTGGTGATATGGCTCAAAGTGATCGCTCTCAATGGATGGCACAGATGCATCCACTCCTTGTGACTTATGCTATCCAATGAAAATATATTGTTCTTCCTTATTACTATCCCTTTTGTCTCTTATCCCTGCTTACTGTCTATTATGCATTTCTTCTACTTTCTTCTGTTGCTTTGTGTGGTACATGGAGTGTGGCGACTTGAACTGCCGCATATATGTGCAAAGTTCTATGTCGAAAACAGACAGACAGACTTGGGGTACTGGACAGCCGTTTCATCCTAGCTTGGGACTCCTCATCAGTACAGTACACACCCACCGGGGTTCGAACCCAGAACCTTCTGGTTATAAGACTAGCGAGCTAGCTCGTAGACCGTTAAGCCACTGGGACCCTATCCAGTACTCCCAGTTGGTTTTCCAATGGTTGTCTAACCAATGTCAGCGCATGATGAAATGCTGTAACTAATCAACCAAATCCCTCTACAAATCAATACTTAAATACAGATTCATTTATCTGAAACTGAACTGCACACAACAAATTTGGTCAGTTGGACTAATTGAAATCAGTGGTGAGTTAAGACGCATTTAGATATCCATGAGCATCACGAGGATCGTGATCACGCACAAAGCCTACACTTCCCTACGTGGTGCAGACTAGCTGTCAAGGTTTTCATGAACCGATTCAGGTTTTTGGTTGGCTCGTTTCCAACTTGACCCTATGTCAGGTAACATTGCCTGTTGGGGAAGGCGATGACTAGGCAGGCATGCGTAACACTTGTCCTAACTATCTCAGTCAATCAATGTAGATTCACAACCTCATCGATTGACTTCCCTCCTTAGTTAATACTCTACCCTTAACTTCAATATTACTCATTATGTCGTACCACCTAACACGGGAGATATGACAGAGACACTTATGATCAAAAACAGCTAGCCTGCTTTCCCATGTCTTCTACTCTTAATGACCGTGTCTCACAGCCATAATGGAGGGTGGGGGAAACTGCTGAGCAATACACACGTCCTTTGATTGATTGATAGCTGAATATCACATCTACTTCAGAGATAGCGTAGCGTAAGTTGACAAATGCCACACGAGCCTTTTGTATTCATCCTGAGATTTAGACATCAATTAGTCCGTTGAGATTGATGGAACTGCTCTACCACTTCACTCGTTGTCTTCAAGCTAGGAGTTGATGTAGTCTCCAGTCTTGTAGCATCACCTCATATTTGAAAGGAGCAAATCGCGTGACAAACATTCAAAGATCTCTTCTCAAGGTGTGTCCATAAGACTGTACTTTACACGCATGTTTACCCAGGAGGACTATAAAATTTGTGGTTATTCATTAAGTGTTCAATTTATGTAGTTATCAACTTAACTATTAGCAGGCTGGGTTTCTTTCAGGTCGTGGATGCATTGATTATATGTTCACCCTTCGTCAGTTGTTGGAACACCGCCACACGTAATGCACGTCAACGATCGTTGTGTCTCTTGATATTAGGGCTGCCTTCGATTCGTTGGACAGAACTGTGCTCTGGAACTGTCTGTTAGAGAGAGGTGTACCTGAGAAATTTGTTAACATCTTGAATGCTCTATAACAGGAACACCTCATCAGGTAGAATGAGGGCATACAACCAACTATCATCACTGTTTCCAACCAACAGTGGGGTTAGACAGGGTTGCAGAATCTCTCCATTTCTCTTTAACTTTGCCATCGATGACATTCTGGAGTCAGCTCTGAAGGATGTGCGTGAAGGTGGTGTAGATCTGCTACCTGGAGATAGACTTTTTGACCTCGAGTATGGAGACGATATCGTCTTATTGTGCGATAGCCTGCAGGCTGCCGAAATCACACTTAATCAGTTGGCGATCAGTGTCTGTAAGTATGATATATACTTTGCACCGTCTAAGTGCAAAGTACTGTTACAAGATCGACAGGAGCCTGTACCTGCACTCACGCTGGTGAGTGAACCGCTTGAAGTTGTTGATAAGTTTGCGTATCTGGGTGGTTGTGTGAGTGCTGGCGGAGGGGTGACGGATGAGATTTCCAACCGTATAATGAAGGCTAGGGTGGCATACATCAACTTGAGCCACCTATGGCGCCGTCGCGATGTTAGGCTGGCTGTCAAAGGTCGGGTATGCAATTCTTCGGTGCGGGCTGCCCTGCTCTACGCCTGTGGAACCTGGCCCCTCTGAGTGGCGTGAGGATGTTCGGCGACTCTGCGTGTTCGATCATCGCTGTCTCCGCAGGATTGCTTGCGTTCTTTGGCATCATCGCGTGAGTAATTCTGAGGTTCGGCGGCTGCGTGTGTTTGAACACGGTGGAGATCACCATTCGTTGAGTGTTTATCATCTGGAAACATCGCCTTCGGTGTCTGGGATATGTGCTTCGAATGTCATCCCAGAGGCTTCCGTACAGATCTCTGTTCGCTAGCCAGCCCTGGGACGGGATGGAAAAGGCGGAGGGGTGGGGTCGGTCCATGATGTGGCGTCGTGGGATGCAGGATGTTTGTGCTAGATTAGCATTGGTTGGTGCGTCACGACTCCCTGGTTGGGGTTCGCGAGACAGCTCGAAACGTTATCGGATATGGTGAATAATCTTAATCAATGGCGAACGTGTTGCGATTTCCTTCTTTCTTCCCTTCCCTATGATAGTTAACGAATACTGTTTGAACTTGTTAAGCATGACTGTTTTCCTTCCAGATGAGGTTCTTTATCCGTTCTCTACTTATATTTTTACTTTTAATGTATGTTGTTCTATTATTATTGTGTGGTGCATCTTTCTTGTTGCCATATTGTAGCAAGTTTTTTCTGCTTTTAAATAATAATAATAATAATAACAATAACCATTAGTATTTCCAAGTTAGTTTTATCCTTTTATTTATTAACGTTATTGTTTTATTTCCACTGTTTTAAATATTTTTTTAGACGCATCACTTTCACATTCACTAACCTCTTCTGGATTTCTATCGGGTTCTGGTGGTTCAGATAGTCAGTATGATTTACTCATGGAGGCATCTAATTCCGGATCCCAGACATTAAGTACTAACAATACTTTAAATAACAACACAAAGACTAATTATGGTACATTGTTAACTGTACCAAATGCTGATGGTAAATGTGGTTTATCAAATAGTTTTTACAATTGTCTCTACCCGTTTAACTCATCTTCACATTTCTCCTATCGAAGACTGTCTGACATCCCTACAGTATCTAACTTGTATTCCTCCTCCACCTCCACCTCCTCGCCCTCTTCCTCCTCTTCATCATCTTCACAATGTCCTACACAGTCGGCATCCAATAATGAGAATAATAATGAAGGAAATAAAACCCTAGACGGTGCTGGTTCAGATTCAAATCCAAATCCACACGCTACAGTGGCCAAAGATTTAAATGACTTCCCAGTAGTAGTCAGTTCATCAGAATTATCGACAACTGTTCAAACTCCAGCTGCTGATATAGATGATGGACAGGCGAAATCGTCTTCAAATGTGGATTGCCAGCAAAGAGTATCAATAAGTAGTACATTGAGTGATTCCAGTTCAATTTCATCAAGTAATCCAGACTTAGGTGTAAGTCATCCTTTAAGTATGTTTGTGTGTGTGTGTAACTTTTTCCTGAGACAAATAGTTAATTACAGTTACGTTTGTCACTGTAACTTCTTTCTCTTAAGTCATCATATCAGCTGCATGTCAACTTGCTAAATGTGATTGGATGAGCAATATTATTTTTTATGAATAGGAAATCTGATTAAGTGAGCTAAAGACTGAAATCGATAGCGTGACCAGGTTTGTCCCAGTGGCTGAATAATAGTTGGTGAGCTTGCCTTGTAGCCTAAAGATCCTGGGTTCAATCGCTTGTGCATCGGTTGTTTAATGGTAAAAAAATACTCGTCAACCATATGTATGTGATGGTCCGCCGTTCGATTCCCAGCTGACGCACACACTTTAATCTCGCTTATTGGGTGGTGGTAGTAGGCCGGATAAGGAGGGAAGGTTGGGAGTGTGAGGTTATAAACCCCACCCCGTAAAAAATAAAAACCACTGCTACTGGAATTTTAAAGCTCAAGCTTGAAGCCCTGTATTCTACTTGGAATTCAAAGGAATAAAATAATAAATAATAATCATAACAGATAAACCATGTCACACCTTACTCATCCACCTAGGACGCAACCTAAGGAAATCATTTTGAGAGTATAATTGCGTCTGGCCCTAACAACCCTCCCTTTTTAATATTATATTATTATTATATCCTTTAATTCCTAGAGGAACGTAGGGCTTCAGCCGCGTGTCTCCATTACCTTCGGTTTTCTGCCAATTTTTTCACCCTGCTCCAAGTCTGCCCACAGAACTTGGCACCGAAGTGCAGCAGTTCGAGTTGCCACGTCCCAAATAGCACACAGAGGTAGACAAGAAGATGAGTGAAGAGAATTAATAGAGTTTGACAAATATAAGAGTGAAACAGAATGGGTAATGGTAGAAAGGAATATGAAAGATTACAGAGACTGAATACATCTGCGCTGGTCATTGACAACGATGAGTTTGAGCCATGTCACCTATTGTCTCCAGCCATTGATTCCTAGAGTCTCGAGGGCCCCAACCCGGGAGTCTGCATCTCCCTACCTGACCGACTCAGTTTAACTGTCAAGGATTTCATGGATTGATGAGGCCATGTTTTTGTTTGGCCACCACTGGCTCTTTGTACCAGACAGACAGACAAGTCTGCCCACATGCTTTCATCTCCTCTTCACATGACCTCCTCCAATTCACCCTTGTACTGACGAGCAACTCGCCGCTTCCCTTTCGGGTTCCACTTGAGCGACGGCTTGTCTAGTGATGTCACTTGATGGTTTGTTTCCTCAGAGTATGGCCAGCCAATCCATCTCCATTTCTTCCTGCCTGTTTGTTGCAGAATCGGTTCCTGCTGGGTTGGTTCGCTGATTGCCAGAGATCCCTCCCTGTTGGTGATCTTTTCTGACCGGCCATCTGATCTTGAATGGTATTGAGCAAAGCCAACTGTTAATGAAGGTCTGTAGTTTGTTTGAGGTGCTCTTTATGACGCGCTGGTCAAGTCTCTGATCCGTGTAGTAAGTAGCACTGACTGACTTCACATTGGAGTTGAAAAAATTTAATATATATATATATATATATATATATATATATATATATATATATATATATATATTAGGTGGTGCAGCGTCACAGTGCTTGCCAGCCACGCACTTGGTTCGGGGTTCGACTCTCAGCATTCCTAAACCTCTATTAAACGGAAGTGGTCCCGCTAAAGAAGGAAGGCTAGATGTGTGTCTAGCAACCCCCTACCCTGTAAAAATAACATGAAATGCTGTAGAGGCTTCAAAGTTCATCCCTTAAAAGTATAGACAAACAGAAAAAAAGTAATTAAACTTAACAAAGAGACTATTTAATAACTATCCTACTATCATAATTAAAAAAATAATTGAGTGACAAGTGATTGGATAATGTTGTAGTCAGAGAAGTCGTCACTGAGCTGTTCGACTTATTGGAGATTGCAGATACTCCTTTGTTGACCACCGGCAACAAGCAAAAAAGAAACCTAGATTTTGGGCTTCCTGCTGATTGCCCACAACCACCTAACATGAATTCAAAGTGAGCCGCGATTGCGAGTCATATATAGCCTGGTGTGGTTACATTGTAAATTTGATTGGCAGAGTCCAGTCAGTACTAATACCAAGCACACATGATGCTGATAACTCCCCAATATCGAATGAAGTTATTTATTATTATTATTGTTATTAAAGTACCAACTTGATACATTTTGGACACCAATCAGTGTGCCACACAATATCCTATAGCTTTTGCGAAGCTTGGGATACTGATCGGACGCCCAGACTGAAGCATGTGGTTGTCTTAAGAGTTTACTACTCCCGAGCCTCTAACTTGAAGTCTGATCCACAAGGCCGTAGACCAGTGGCTGGAGCTGTGTCTTCACAGTTGACGGTAACCGAAACAAGTTCATATTCCATTCGATCCATTTGAATTCTGTGAAGCCCATGTACACCATAGGTTTGGAATTAGGGTTTTTCGGCTCCCCTAGGCAGACTTGCATGCTCACCAGTCCCGTTATAAGAGCGAGAATTTCGCAATCACTCTTTCACTCTTGTGAGTAACACCCTCGTCGCGCGAAGTTAGTGAATAAAACTTATCTGGTAGAGGCTATGATGAACGCGTGGTCACAGGAGAGCATTTCGAGAGAGAGAGAGAGAGAGGGAGACCGAAGTCTATTCACCTTCGACCGTACCTGGTTGTTTATGAGGGCATTCTATGTTCGTATAAATTTTTTTTATTGATGCCTTTCTAAATGGAAGTATAATTTTGTCTAGGTCAACTACTGCAAATAAGGTGGTTAATTCGTTTTTTTTCTGTCTTAACAGTGAATTTTAAGGAATTGTTACATTTAGTAAGTTTTTAATTTAAATGTATCCTTTTTAGGAATTACTTATATTGGTTGTTGTTCATTCTTTAGCCGTGTTACTGAGTGATAAAACCAGGCTCAATAATCATGCATAGATTAAATGGTGCTCAGGAGAAACAAACACGAGAAAAGTGGGCAGGCTTTAGACCATGTAGAGGGTGTATTGATCATATATATTCACCCTTCGACAGATTTTGCAACATAGGTATATTTGCCGGTGTCCATCAATTGCCGTATTGATATTAGATGGTTGAAGGCGATCGGCAGTAAGCCTTCCACCTAGAGGTTTCGTGCTAGTTAGCACTCGTCGGCAAAGCGTATCTGCAACCTTGAAGGGATTCATGTCCCTTCTGAGATTCGAACCTGTGTCACCCAGTGATGCAGTCAGTCAGAGACGTTACCACTGAGATATTCGGGCTAGCGATAGACCTCCTGTAGGACTGTTGTATTGGTTACTTTGATTGGACACTAGTTAGTAACCAGTGTGATGTGTGTCTAGTCCTTTGTTTGGCGCAGACTGAATTCTATCAGTCAACTTTGCTATGTGACCACCATTCGATCCATAGCAATTAAAAGTGCACCGTGATGGCGAGCCACCTAGAGTGATGACCACACTGTAAACTCGACTAATAGTATTCAGTCTGCAGTAGACTAGACATATTACACTAGTTACTAACTAGCGTTCAATCAAAATTGCCACATTTCTTGACTTGAAAGCGGGATTTGACTCCATCAACCGAGAGGTTCTATGGCAGTAATATTTGACCGTCAAGGGAGTGCATCTGCGTTCTGTCTCCCGTGTTATGTGGTATAATATTAAGGTTAGGCGTCAAATATTAAGTAAGGAGGGGAAGTTAGTCAATGAAGCTGTGAAATTACATCACCTTCCTCGACGAGCGATGTTACCTGGCATAGAATTAGACTGGAAATGAGCTAGTGATGGATAAACCAGAACTTTGAATCATTGCATGAAATCTTCGACAGTTGGCTGCAACCAGCCATATCAGGACGTGTATACTGTCTCTGTCTAGGGCTCTTAGGATCCTGAGATCCAATGGTTGGGGGATAAATGGTGATATGGCTCAAAATCGTTCTCAGTAACTCGTGACTGGCCCTGTTTACGCAGTTACCTAGGGTTCTAGTGGGAGTGAGGACAAATACTCGCCGAAGACTTTGGTTAGTATTCGCGCTATGCCGTGAATTGGCAGAAGTTAGAATTCATGGACTGGCCATTGGATTGGGTCCCAGTGGCTCAACGGTCTACGAGCTCGCTAGCCTCGTAACGAGAAGGCCATGGGTTCGAATCCTGGTGGGTGCGTACTGATAAAGAGTCGCAAACTAGGACAAAACAACTTTCCATTGGTCGTCTAACCGATATCAGTTCATGATTAAATTTTTAAGTCTTTTTTCATGCATTAAATTTCTTTAAATGGATTTGTGTGTTATACTTTCCTATAATTTTATTGATTTTTTTCTACATTCACTTATTATGTACAGATTTGTATCCCACATTCACCTACGTCAATAGTTTTAACTTCTACATCACCAGAACTTGTAAAGAATTTCGAAAATCTCAGTATATACACTAACAATTCACTGAATCATTGTCTAACAAAAACGTCGGAGAGTGAATACGCCTCTGATGATCGTAATTCCATGACAAATCAGCATTCCAACATGATGGTGAATGATCATTGTTCATCATCACCACTAAACATTATTTATCCTCATATGACGTCACACTGTCATCCACGTGAAGAATTACTTGATCATGTTTCGATTAATTTCCCTGAAACACAAGATGGATCAAGTCAGTGTTTGAGTATTTCTACGAATTCAGTTAAAGCAATTAGTTCTAATGATAGCAGATGTACTTCGCATTATAGTTCTACTGACGAGAATAATAACTTTTTAAATCCATTTTCTGGAATGACAGGTATGTACTACTTTTTTTATGTGTTGTATTTACGGCGTTGGGTAATAACTAGCCCCCGCGCTCAACTTTTCTTCTCTTCCTGGCTTACTACTGGTTAGTGGACTAGGAGAGGTGTAAAATTACCTACCTTTTTGTGGAAATCGTGTCGAGACCCTCTGGGGGGGTATGGCAAGCATTCTAAGTTGAGCCACCCACCAATGTTTGACCTCACAAACGTTGTTTTGTGTTTAAATCGACAGTCCTATTATAACATAGATAGATGATTACTAAAATGTTTAATTTCAGTGATTTAACGAATAACTAGTGCGTCGGCAGCATAGCGGTTAGGACGCTCGCCGACCATACATATGGTCCAGGGTTCGATCCCCGGCCGCCGACGCACTCCTTTACCTCGCTAAGCCAAAAATAATGCTGGTAAAGAGGAAAGGTTGGGCATGAGGCTAGAAAACCTATCCTGTAAAATTAAACACTGCTACAGAAACTTCAAGCCACTAGCTTGAAGGTGCCCTATATTCCACTGGGGAACGTGAAGGGAAAAGAAACGAACAACTATATCATATTAAACACGGAGATTTGTGGTTGTCGTTTGGCTTCACTAGAATACTCCTCTAGACACGACCCACTTGAACTAACTAATCACTTGAAAATATCCCCCCCCACCTCCCCGCCGAAACTGATATGGACAAGAAAGTCAGACTTAACTATGACATAGTAGTTGCGACCGCCCAACAGCGTTTTATTATTATTATTATTCAAAATACGTTGTATATACAGCTTACAGAACCTCGGGAATTCAATCCAAGAATAGACCAATCAAAAAATGCCCTTTATGAAGGGTATCATGCCAGTGCATCATGCATGAAGCATGACTTCATGGCTGACAACGATAGGCTGTCCACCCTAACAGAATGATTACAATTGAAGTTTAGTATGAATTCAAGTTTTTAGTGAATACATGATGCAAATTGGAGTAAGATATAATGGATGGAATGATCAACTCGTGGAAACAAAACTAACCCTTACAAACCAAACTATAGAAAATTAATCTGATGCTCACTAGTGACTTGCTACAGGATGGAGTTTTTTAGAGTTCTAGTGAGAAGTCGTGACCAGTGAGGTCCATCCAGATATCGCGTATGAGGATGGATGTCCCACCTACGACAATGGTTGGAGTAGCGCTAAATCACAAATTAGTAGAAGTTAGAATTGATGAGCCATTGAATCGGGTCCCAGTGGCTGAAGGGTATATGGGCTTGCCTTGTAACCGGAAGGTCCTGGTTTCGAACGCTGGCGGTGGGTGCGTACTGCTAATGATTCCCAAACTAGGCTGATGAAACAGCTAGCTGTCCAGTACTCTAGTGCTGGTTTTCAATGGTTTTCTAGCTGATATCGGAATCCGTGATCAACTCGTAAAAACAAAAACGAACTCTTACGAACCAAACTATGGAATTCAGAAGACCAAAAAGGGTTTGTGATCAAGTATGGTGTATATCGAGATAGATAGTGCGATAAACTTAGCAGAGAGAATAGAGAAAATAGGTTCCCAAGGCAGTTGAAGGCTGACAGTATTGGATCCGCCTAAAGACACAGGTTAAATTTCAAGCGTTTTCTATCACGACAGTGTGAATGGAACAAAGAAAGCTATGGCTGTTTTATTTATTATTCTAAAGTGTGTCTTGTTGGTGTGCGCTGTTCACATTAAGAGGTTAGAGAGATTGACACCTACTCAAATCATTTTTAATCCTTTTAAATAAGGGCTTTTCAACACTTGTTTAAAAAGTCTTACGTAAATTGATGTAGCGTTGTCACTTCAGATATACATAGATCGATTGATCGATCGATCAATAAACACAAGTAACAGGAAGTAACTTTTAGTCTGTTATCTGTCGATTTTTGATTGTACAATGACTAAGATTTCCAACAAAAGCGACTAGTCTTGTCCAGCGTATGCGTGTGTGTGTCCCCTCTAATTAGAGTTGTGCCTAAGCTCATTTTCAAAAATTTTGCAATATTACCTTGATAATTGAGGGAAATAGAGAAAATTCGTTACCTATTGTGCAAATCCAACCTACTATCTGGTTATCTGATTGATCACTTTCATTCGTGTGTGTGTGTGTGCATTAACCGACTTGCTCTTGTATTATTATTATTTCCTTTAATTCCTAGAGGAACATAGGGCCTCAGCCACGCGTCTCCATTGTGTTTGGTTCTCTCCTAGAGTTTTCACCCTGCTCCAAGTCCACCCACATGCTTTCATCTCCTCTTCACATGACCCCCTCCAAGTCACTCCACCTTCGGAAGATCAACTCCCCGCTTCCCTTTCGGTCGGATTCCACTCGAGAGATGGCTTGTCTAGTGATGTCACTTGATGGTTTGTTTCCTCACAGAGTATGGCCAGCCAATCCATCTCCATTTCTTCCTGCCTATTTGTTGCAGAATCGGTTCCTGCTGGGTTGGTTCGCTGATTGCCAGAGATCCCTCCCTGTTGGTGATCTTTTCTGGCCGGCCGGCCATCTGATCTTGAATGGTATTGAGCAAAGCTAACTGTTGATGAAGGTCTGTAGTTTGTTTGAGATGCTTTTTATGACTCGCCAAGTCTCTGATCCGTCGAGTAAGTAGCACTGACTGACTTCATATTGGAGTTGAAAATCCGGATATTTAATTTCATTTTCATGATGAGTGCTATTGATCTCCACACAAACTTGAGATAAATGAAAGCCTGCCGTGCTTTCCCAATCCTCACCTTGATATCCTCGTCAGTTCTGCCTGTGCGTGAAACAGTGCTTCCCGGGTAGGTAGGTAAAGTAGGTTGCTTCTTTCAGATTTCTCCCATTTATGCTGATTGTTGTCTGTTGTTGCTGTTGCTGTTGGCCAGGAATCTTCATCACCTCTGTTTTCTCTATGTTCACCTGAAGGGAAGGTCTATCTTTGATGATCTTCTGTCAACTTGTTGCTTTTCACTTGCATACCTTCCAGTTTGTAGGAAATCATATATATGTTGCATCGGTGAAGTCCATATCCTCCAAGTTTTTTGTGAGGGTCCATTTTATGCCTGTTTCCTCGCTGCCCTCTGCGTGTCTGTCACATTATTCAATCTACTGCAATCAGGAAAATCATTGACGATAGTAGGCAGTCAACCTGCCTTGTCTTACTGCCGTCTTCATTTCGAAGGATTCTGTGAGTTTCCCGTTGTGGATTACTTGGCATGCAGCATTGTCGTACATCTGTTGGATGAGATGTATAATTGTCGGTGGTGCCCCTTGATAGTAGCGAAGTAGTTTCCAAATCACCTCTCAATCGACGTGGTGCTGTCGAAGGCCTTTTCAAAGTCTATGAAGTTGAGTGAGGTCGACAACTGACTGCCATTCCAAGTTTTGTTCAATGATGATCCGTAGTGTGGCGATTTGATCAATAAATGACTTGTTTCTCCTGAATCCAGCTTTTTCCGGTCGAAGTTTTTCATCCAGGGTGGCGTGTTTGATTCTCTCCAAGATGATGCGGCTTAGTATTTGCTTGGGATGGACAGGACTTGCTCTTGTAGATGCCACCAATAGGTTCTTCGATGCGTCGTTTCCTACACAAGCTTTGATAATACTGCTCTGAGTGGCCAATGCATTTGTAAAAATTGAAAATGTAATACAACCTTTTAAATAGGATTAGTCATTTAAAAAAATTTTTATACAAGGCAAAATGGAATTGTTTTCGAAGACTATTAATGTCCCAGACTATGTTTTATGTTCGTTCTGATTGAGAAATTGTAATTGTAAATGATAATAAACAGTTTTTATTCAACCTTTATTTCTACGGTTTTCTTGGTTACTGACTGACTGACTGAAAAAATAGTACACTAGGTGGGGGGGGGAAGTATCTAGTGTCATGCGTCTAGTCCTTTGTGTTTGGTGCAGACTGAATTCTGTCAGTCGAGTTTGCTATGTGGTCACCATGCTAGGCGGCGGGGGGGGGGGCTCACCATTACGGTGCACTTTGAATTGTTGTTATTAGATGGTCGAAGACAATCAACAGGAACCCCTTCGACCTAGATTTCGTGGTTGCTGGCACTCGTCATCAAGGCGTATCTGCATTATTATGGGAACTCATGCACCTTCTGAGATTCGAACCTGTGTCACTCACTCAGTACTACTGCATTCAGTCAGAGACGTTGCCATTGATCGATTCAAGCTCGCTTTTGACCTCCTATAGGATACTTTGATCGGACGCTAGTTAGTGACTAGTGTGATGTGTGTCTAGTCGCTTTGTTTGACACAGACTGAATTCTGTCTGTTCACACTTTACTACCACAATAAGCCAAAAATTATCGTGATTGCATCCGTGTTTTTCTCATGGTCGCAATTCACCGTGGAAATTACTTTCAAGTTATTGTTCATCTTCGAATCGACACTATTGTTCTCCTTAACTTCTATTATTATTATCACTATATTATTATTTATAATTGTGTTCGTTATGCTCTTAATCTGTTTTTATTTTATTTACCTCATCATTTTTAGCTGTTCCATTTTGGTTAAAAAGTCTACGATTACACAAATATGCTAGTCTTTTTCAAAATCTATCTTATGATGAAATGATGTCTATCACTGATGATTGGTTGAAAGAGCATGTGAGTTCAATAAATTTTAGGTCTATCAGATGAATATTATTATTATATTATTATTATTGTTCCCTTGGGTTCCTAGTGGAACATAGGGCTTCAACTGCACGTCTCCACTTACCACTTCTGTCTTCTGCTCTACTTTTCTTCTGCATCCATGTTAGTCCATACTGTTTCATACGATATCCTCCATGTCACCCTTGCACTGACGTGTCCCATTCGCTGCTTCCCTTTCGGGTTCCACTCGAGCAATGGCCTGATGCGCACGCGATGTTTGTCATCCGGTGACCTCCGCAGCGAGTGTCCAATCCATCCAACTCCACTTTCTCCTGTATATTTGTTGGGTGATTGGTTCTTGTTTTGTTTGTTTGTGCCCATATTTTCTTGTTGGTGATTCTTTCCGACCCGGCCATCTGATCTTCAATATAGAGCGAAGATAGTTGTTGGTTGATGAAGGTCTGGTCTGCAATAGCCTGTAGGAGGAAATATTCTTTGTGACCCGCCCGCCAAGTTTCTGATCCGTTCCATAAAGAAGAGTGACTGACTTGACGTTGTTTGTATTGGAAATCCGACTGAATTTTGTTGTTGATGTGGCTGAGTGACAAAGATTTCCAGATTAGATTGGTTTCATGTTGATGAATCTGTGCGTTTCTCGCCTTCCCGATTCTCGATTTGACCAACTCGTTCGTTTTGACTGCCTGTAGTTGAGACAACGCTCAATGCTAGATAAGTGAATGAAGGAAGTGACCTGTTTCAAATCCCTCTGGTTGATGGTGATTGGCGCTGGATGTTGCTACTGTTGTTCTTGTTGTTGGTTACTATCCTTTATGTAGAAAAAATTGTTTGTAGGTGTGATGCTACAATTGGAGAAAATCAAATCTCCAAAAAGAGCCACATCACTCAATCACTGATTTGGTTTTCTCATAAATATGTAAATACTACAAAATGAGACTTATTCATGCGTAAAATTTTATACTGCAGATTGATTGAGATCAGTTATTGTGACTACCACTTGCATCAACCAGTAGTAGTGCTTGCTAGTCGGGTCAGATCGAAGTGATCTAACCCCCCCCCCCCGCCTATGTCTGTCTCTTTCGCTCATTTGGAACTGAGCCTATTAGCCGTGTACCCAGTTACACTCAGCTCATTTCAAATCACCCGATTTCCGGCTAGCTGCTTTGGCGAAGTGGGCATTCGTGACCAGTAGGGTGCAGCAGGTCGGGTGTCAGGACAAATACTCACCGAAGACATTGGCTAGCGTTTGCGCTATATCGTGAATCGGCAGAAGTTAGAATTCATGGGCTGGCCACTGGATTGGGTGGGTCCCAGTGGCTTAATGGTTTACTAGCTAGCTTGCTTTGTAACCAGAAGGTCCTGGGTTCGAACCCAGTGGGTGCGTACTCCTGAAGGGTCTCAAACTAGGACGAAACAGGTGTCCACTACTCCCTGTAGGTTTTCCATTGGTTCTCTAACCAATGTCAGCTCATGATGAAAGCCTTTAACCAATCAACCAAATCCCTACAAAATCAATACTTGAGTATTAAAGCGAATTCCCTGTTTGCTAACTAGTTAGCAATTAGCAATTTATCCAGTTACAGAAGATGGGATTTCGTCATAGTTTGTTTCGGAAACTGAAATTACTGAGATAAGACCATAATGCATGTGGTCTGCTTGATCAGCGTAAATGGTAATCAAGAAAGCAAGCATAAATGTTTGAAACTATATTGCCACCAGAGCATACTACTGTGTTTTGTACACTACTACTACTCACAGTAAATCAATAGTATATCAATAGTCTTATGCAAAAATGCTTGATTTCTTGATTACCACCTATGACATACGCAGATCACACATGCATTGTAATTTGAATACTTTTGGTTCCTAGAGGGAAGGAACTGTGGCGGAATTTCTCCTCATTGAACTATGCAAACTGCAAACCAATTTGCGTTCCTTTACCTACCCATTGGAACATAGGGCTTCAAGCTGGAGGCTTAAAGTTTCTGTAGCAGTGGTATCTATTTTTACGGGATGGGTTTGCTAGCCTCATGCCCAACCTTCCCTCTTTACCAGTTTTATTTCTGGCTTAGCGAGGTTAAGAAGTGCCTCGACCGAGGCGAGAACCCCGGACTATCTGTGTGGTCAGCGAGCATTTTATCGCTGTGCCACTGACTCACGTCTTTTTCACTGAACTCCTTTTTTGTGTTTCTTCTAATTAATGTCTGAATGGGGATCACCATTTGCAAATGATTGATAATCTGTACACAGTCCCAGGAGGTGTAGTTGCACTATAGTTTCCGTTGGAAACCGAAATAGCTAAAATTGTAATAATATGTGATTTCCTTGGATACCATAAATGATAATCAAAGGAGCAAGCATAATTTCAAAACTATGTACTATTGACTGGTTGATATGAGTAGTTGAATACCATTCACATTAACCATTAGTACTTGCTACCTCACTTAGCCAGATCGAGGTTCTCTAAACACCGGATGGCTGTTTAGACACTTTTAGTGTAACTGATTCGCCTGTGGTTAATAATAAATTTTCTTCATTTGTTATGAATTGAAGTGAACCATGTTTTTGACTGCCTTTGAGGGATTACAAGCGATCAACACATAACAGTGGATTTTACCCGTTCTAGCCAATAATTTTTGATCTTTGTCACTTAAGATTTTTGAATGTGAACCATCATATCCTGTCACTAAACACTTTGATATCTAAATATTCCAGCTGAGTGTGCGTATGTGTGAGTGTGTGTATGTGTGTGTGGAGACTTTCCACTTCTGTTAAAGCAAAAATATACCTGTTCGTCTATATATATATATATAATTTCCTTTAATTCCTAGAGGAACAAAGGGCCTCAGCCACGCGTCTCCATTACCTTCGGTTTTCTGCCAATTTTTTCACCCTGCTCCAAGTCCGCCCACATGCTTTCATCTCCTCTTCACATGACCTCCTCCAAGTCACTCCACCTTCGGAAGACCAACTCGCCGCTTCCCTTTCGGTCGGATTCCACTCGAGAGATGGCTTGTCTAGTGATGTCACTTGATGGTTTGTTTCCTCACAGAGTATGGCCAGCCAATCCATCTCCATTTCTTCCTGCCTGTTTGTTGCAGAATCGGTTCCTGCTGGGTCGGTTCGCTGATTGCCAGAGATCGCTTCCTGTTGGTGGTCCTTTCTGGCCAGCCATCTGATCTTGAGTATTGAGCGGAGACAACTGTTAATGAAGGTCTGTAGTTTGTTTGAGGTGCTCTTTATGACGCGCTGGTCAAGTCTCTGATCCGTATAGTAGCGTAACGACAGAAGGCAAGAGTCAGGCAACAGATCCTTTATTTAGGAAATCAGCACATATTTATAGATTTTTATGTACATTATTATAGATTATTGTTAGCTGACAAACACAGTCTTCTGATTGGTTGTTTCTGACTAAAAGTTAATCTTCCATCTCTTTGTGGCTGTTTCTTGAATGTCAGATCATCTATATGATAACTGCAATTTTTTAAAATAATTTATTGTACTTTATTGCAAAAACATTACTTATAATACAGAATGGAATTCTCAGCATTTGTCACAATATTGCATCTGATTAACTCAAAATATAAATAAAATTAAAAATTAAAACAAAAGTAACCAGAGGAATTTGTCCACGCTTGCGATATAAAGTCAAAAATATTCGAAGCACGAATTGAGATTATTAAATATAATAATAATAATAATAATAACAGTGAGTTTGTTTCAAACAGTATTGTCGATTCAGTTTGGAAATTTTAGCGTGTTACCATAGAATATTGAATCTAATGTTCTGTTGATAAAGTATAATGAGGGGAAATACAAGATTAACAGTGGTAACACAGCTTAATTGATGTTCACACTTATGAAAAATAAATAAATAAAAACAAAAAATGAGAGGATTATAAATATAAGAAATACAATAACAATCAAGTTTGGTACTGTAAGGGTGGAAGAAATGGTTTATTTAATATTGGAAAGAAGGTTAGATAGTTCATGCCTGACATTATTTTCATCACATAAAGTACGTGCTTAGTATGATATAGTGTAATTTTTATACTTAGATGTACGTGCATAAATTCTTCTGAAAAGACTTCTTGTTTTACCTGAGGAGACACGAGGTTGGAGCTGAGCGTAGGGTGGGTGCTAAGAGTCTGAGAAAATTCCTTTAGCAAATTTGTTGCATGACATCAAGTTCCTATCCGTGACAATGTCAACGATATGGCCCAATGGGATACCACTCGTCCTACTGACAGTCTTCAGAGTTCTACGAATTATGGCATAGTCTTTTTTAAGCAATCCAGGGAAGAATAAGGGTGTACACTAAAGAAGAATGTGTAAAATACGCAAGTTGACAAACTGTAAGAGGAGGGGTTGGGTTATGCCTGAGTGCCTTAACTTCTTAATGTATAAAGTTAGACGAAATATTCTTTTAGAAATCGATAAGCAATGAAGTGGACGACTTTCCCTGACATACAGTGTACTGCTTTCTTCCTGAGGAATAACAATGCAACCGTTTGACAACCCAGCAGTCAGTTTGAGTTTCAGCAAGCTTGTTTTACTAGATGTCCCTAGGTACTGAGTCAAAAGCAGATGTGTAATCTAGGAATGTGCAGTGAACAAATTTATCCCCTTGTCTAAGCTGGAGACAATGTTATGGTACAAGACTGAAACTGCATCTAAAGTACTTCTACTTTGTTTATAGGCGAATTGTTTGAGATCGTTAAAGGCTTTAAGTGCAGGTTGAAGATTAAGTAAGAATAACTTTTCGAAAGCTTTTAGAAAAGGAGATGTAATAGCGATAGGTCTAAATTTAAAACATGTTCCAGTAGACGATTTAGGGATAGGTACAATTTTGATGTCCTTCCAAACGGCTAGCAGGACATTTATGGAAAAAGATTTGTTAAATATGTCCATAAGAGGATAACACAGGATGTCGGCACATTTTTTAAGAATAACACTAGGCAAACCGTCTGGGCCCAGGCTACAAGAAGGGTTCAGAGACTGGAGACATTTTTGAACATCATTTGTATTGAAACCAGGGAAGCAGGTTTCATTAACACTTGTAACATTAGAAAGTTTGGCATTTGTGGGAGAATATATGAAAGATTTGTTTGGCGTGCAAACATCAAAGGAATAAGGAATACTATTCATCTGCTTACCACCAGTAATTTCTTTAAAAAGTTTTCATATATTAGACGCATTTTTACACGATATAATTTTCTGGTTGTAAATTCAATTCAACCTGTGCATTTCAGATTTTATTAGGATATTAATTCTTTTCAAACCAGTATTGTCCTTCATTTTATATAGCTTTTCTTTTTGTCTGCGAAGCATTTTAATTTGAAGGGAGGAGAAACGGTCAAATCTGATGGAGAGCGTTTCTCTAGGACAACGGGTGTCAAGACAAAATTTGAGATAACTTGTAATATTAGAGACTGTGTCATCAAGAGAATCTACATTAAACAGGTCCCACCTTTTGTCTTTGAGCATGCCCCTAAGATCCTGAAGATTCTCTTTGGAGTAGCATACGTGTACAGTTTTCTCGGAGAGGTGTGAAAAACTTCTCTTGTGTAATTTTCCATAAATTTTACGTAAAACCCGTACAATACAATGATCTGAGTTAAACAGTGGGGCTCTTTTACGAGCTTCGTATATTCCACGGTCATTTATAAATACAAGATCAAGGGAATTATCCAGTCTGGTGAGAAAGTTGACGACATTTTCATGATCTAGCACTGTGAGAAAGCCGTAGTCACATGAATTAAAATCACCTGTGACAATGGACAATGAGTTTCCAAAAGAGGAGGCAGCGAAAATAGTGAATTCATCAGCAATCATAGGCAGTTCTGAAGTGCTGCAGCAAGGTGTGACATAAATGTTTGTGGTATAAATGAATTTGTGTTTAGATAGGTGTTTAGGTCGACATTTGGCAGTTATACAGTCAATATTATCATTTGAGAATTTAAAACAGACGATGTTGGCAACGGACCACTGAGAACTGATAAAAGTAGCAACACCACCTCGCTTCTTCCTTGAACTACTTCGGTCTTGTCTGTACATATTGAAACCATTCAGTAAGATTAAATTGTTATCGAATGAATCGTGCAGCCAAGTTTCTTGAAGCGTTATTACACTTGTATTACGATAAATATTTGAACATAATAGAGCATCCAAGTAATTAATCTTGTTCGATAATGACCTGCAATTTGTGCTCATATTCACAGGAACAGTCATCTGATGCGTTGGAGTACACTTTAAGGATCTTTACCACCCACCATGATGCTTTTTCTTAAGGTTATTATATGCTCGTAAATCATCAGGTTGAAAACATTTTAAATAATTGCGAGAGTAAGTAATGCGATTCGGACATATAATTGAATAATTAAAACAAAATAAATCCAAGTAATCAGATGCAATATTAGTGACAGAAAATTTCGGTAGCCCAAGGTTTAAGCGGGCCGCCGTCATTATGCAAAGTCTGCTGTCAGTCTTTGTTCTTGTTTTCACATGACTAATATTTGGGACATAAACACTGACGTAAATTACTGTCTACCAATTTGGCTAGCAGCAAGCTGTCACCACAGTAGCACTAACTTCACATTGGAGTTGAAAATCTGTCTGTGGTTCAGTGGTAGAATACTCGTCAGTCACGCCTGGCGTGGTCTAGCGTTCGACCTCCCAGCCAACGACGTACTCCTTACCCCCTTGCTTACCCGGTGGTGTAATCCTCGTAAAGAGGGAAGGTTAGGCGTGAGGTTAAAAACCTCACCCCTTAAAAACCTAAACACCATTGGTTGTAGTGAAACTTCAAAGCTCAAGGTTGAAGCCTTATGTGCTACTGGGAACTCAAAGGAATAAAATAAAAATAAATTAGTGCAGAAAACTTCTTCAACTGAATCACTCGTAAAGAAAAACTAAAATATAACCTCTAGTTCCTTTAGCTGTAAATATTTATCCCGCCCCTCTTACTTGAATGATTTTTCAAATGTTTGTTGCTTATTTTATTATTTTCAAGTGTTATTTTGCAGGGATTTGATTAGTTACTGGTTTAATGACGAGTTGAGATCAGTTAAAGAACCATTTGGAAACCTGTGAGTACTGGACAGCTGTTTTGTCCTAGTTTGCGACTCTTCGGTAGTACTCACGCATTGGGGTCCGAGCTAAGCGACGACTGGCTCTATACGGGAAATTATCCTAAATCCCAGTGAGAAGTTGTCACCTGCGGGATGTCAAGTCAGGTAAAAGAACAGTTACTCGCCTATAACATTGGCTGGCGATTTCGCTGTATATATATATATATATATATATATCACGACTTGACAAAAGTTGGAATTCATAGGCCATTCATTGGATTGTGTGTCCCAGTGTCCAGTTTTGAACCTCGGTGGGTGGGCACTGTTGAAGATTCCTGGTGTAGGACGAAGCATCCGTTCAGTGCTCTTTGGTTTCCACTTGCTCTTTTCCAGCCTGACCCTATGTCAGCTAACATTGCCTGTTGTCGAGGAAGGCGATGACTAGACATACGTAACACATGTCCTAACCATCTCAGTCGGTGTAGCTTCACAGCCTCCTCGAATGATTTCCCCTCCCACCTACCTAGCACTCGACTGACGCCTTACCTCAATATTGCTCACCTTATTATACCACTTCACACGGGAGATAGAGTGCAGGCACCTATGGTCAAAGACAGCTAATCTTTTCATGTCTTCCACTCTCAATGACCAGCCAGGTCTCGCTCATAGCCATAAAGGAGGACGGAGCGGACTGATGAGCAGTACACTCGCCCTTTGGTGGATATCCGACCGGATATTACGTCTACTAAGCCAGAGACGGCGTAAACTGGGATATGCGGAACTAGCCCTCTGTATCCGTACTGAGATTTCGTCAGAGATCAACCCGTCGGCACTGGCTGATGGTACTTCCCAAATAAGTGAAGTGGTCAACGTGCTCTACCACTTCACTCCCTATTTCTAAACTAGGAGTCAGTGTAGTCCAGTCCAGTCCTGTAACATCATCTTACATTTGACAGAGGGAGCAAGTTGCATGCCAAACACTCGAAGATGGTCAGGCGGTCAAGGTGTTCAGAAGACTCTGCATTTTGTCAGCGTCCTCGCCTAGAAGGACTATATCGTCTGCATATTCTAAGTCAACGTAATTATTCCCTGGTAGCAAGTCAATCCCTGAGTCGCTGAAGTGAGTTAGGCTTAAGTTCATTCGTGTTATGGACATGAAATAACCTCGTTGGACAACTTTTCGTCGAATTGTTTTGCTTTTATCGAAACTAAGGGGGAAACAGAAGTCTGGTACTCCCCTGGTTTTCCAGTGGTTCTTTAACTGATGTCAGCTGGCAATTAAACCTGTATTATTTTAATATTTGTCTGTATGTTATTTTCAAGGGTGTTTAACTGGTAATGATGTTAACTGTTTGTTGTTTCCTTTCTTCACCGTTTCCTTTCCAATCATTTTGAAATATTTTACAAGAATTTCCTTGATAGTTTCTCGACTAATTAATTCCTGCCTCCTTCTTTCTCTCCCTTCAGGACGTTACACAAGGTGCAAGAAATAAAATCTTATTGAGTATTGAAAAATTAAAACATCGAAAGTCTATTTTATGCACAATGGAAAAGTGTCTCTGCGAAATCCCCTCCACAGGTCAATTAGCTCGATCCACCTTGCATTCTTGTTTATCTGAAATTAAGCATATCCTGTTGACACCGATTAAACCATACTTTTATCAATCAATAAATCATTCCATGCATTTATGTCAACCTGTTTACTCTGCTTCTTCTGCGTCTGCTTTTGCTTCATCTTCATCCTCCTCGCCATCACCGTCGTCTTCTGCTTCTGTTTCTTCGTCGTCATCTTCATCTGCTGTTATCGTGACCTCAGGAAAGTCAACTATGCCGACTACACTAACAGCAACAACAACAACTGCTATCAATGCCATGACAAATTCAACGCATTTCACCTGTCCAATAACAGTTAGTCAGACAACAGGCAATGCTAGCACTGAAGATCATTTAATTGGTGGTGGTGGTGGTAGAGATAATAATCCGTGCAATACCTGTAATAATAATAATAATAATAATAATAATAATAATAATACAAGTTCAATAATCAATCCGATAAATAATAATCCTATACTGATGAATATTCCTTCTATCCAAAGCGATTCTGAATGCTTTTGTGATGAGAATTTATCATATCCAGGTAGGATGTGTTATTATCAACATCATCCACAACAACAAGAACAAATTAACATGACAAATACAAGTAATCAAGCTCACTTTGAGAATAAGTGTTGGTCTCCACCCTATCCAACTGCCTCGACTACTACTAATACAGAACCAGATGGTGTCGATGGTGGTAATGACAAGTCTGATGATGAAAATCTACCCGGATATATTATTAGCTGTTTAACAAAAGGTTAACCGGTTTTTCTCCGTGTTGATTTTAATGCATATATATATATATATATATATATATATATATATATATATATATATATGGGGATGTCACTCTTTAACTTATAGCATTAAGCTTCCAATCATTTGGGTTGCATGTACCCAAATCTGGCCTCTCCGAGTAGGCTGAGGATGTGTGGCGACTCTGTGTGTTCGATCATCGCTGTCTCCACGGGATTGCTTGCGTTCGATGGATGGCATCATCGCGTGAGTAATTCTGAGGTTGGTCCGCGGCGTGTGTTTGAACACAGTGGAGATCGCCATTCATTGAATGTCGTCATCTAGGGTACCTGAAACAGTAAGAGAATAAGTGTTGCGTGACCGCAAAGCCCAAGGGATGTTTACGTCCCAAATCCGGGTCATGAGAAAAAACAAGAACAAAGCCTAACCTTGAGGAACTCAACGACCAATCATGGCAGACTTAGCCTGGGCGTACATAAAATCTATAAATATCTATTGATTTTGTCAATAAACGATTGGTTGCCTGGCTCTTATCCTCTGTCGTTACAGTAGGGCCTGCAGGAACAATTGTTACAGCAAGTGTAGCCTGTTGGGTCATTGCGATATGCAACCCCGATCATCAGGTCAAGGTAGCAGCTATCGGAGTGTGGCAACTCGAACTGCTGCACATCTGTGCAATGTCCTGCGTTGAAAGCAGTCAGTCAGTCAGTTCATGTTTACAAATTACTAATACACTGTAATAAATCGTAGTTCTAGACTTTTCTCCAGTAATCGCCTTATCCAATTCTCACACTAGCATATTTGGAGTGATTACAGCATCAGTCTACTAATTGCTTGCAGGCTTTCTTACTGTCACAAAGTTCCACTGTCTTGCTTATGTTTGTACACTATGCCATGGGAAATAAATTCCCATATTTTGTTTCCCGTATGTAATGACTGTTTTCAAGATAGATTTCTTGAATTTTTTTAATGTTTGGGATCCATCATATATATATATATATATATATATATATATATATATATATATATATATATATAGTGTGTTTGAGATGGTTGCTCACTAACCGCATTAAATGCTGCTTGTTTCATATTACAAACCAATGTAAGTAAGTTGATTTCATTTGTTAAATTAAATTTTATCATGAACCAACATCAATTGTAGTCTGTCTGTCTGTTTTCGACATAGAACTTTGCACAAATGTGCGGAAGTTCAAGTCGCCACATTCCGTGTAGCACGCGAAGCAAGAGAAGAAAGTACAAGAAAAGCATAATAGAAACAGTGAGCAGAGGTGTGAGACAAAGGAGTAATAAAGAAATACAAAACAGTTTCATTGAAGATCATAAGTCACAGGGAGTGGATGCATCTGCGCCACTGAGAACGATTTTGAGCCATGTCACCAATTGTTTCCAACCATAGATTTTTACCGTCCCGAGGACCCCAGCCTGGAAGTCTACACCTTCCTACGTGGCTTAGACCAACTGTTGTGGATTTCATTGACTGATGCCAAGTTTTTGTTTGACCGCCGCTAGCTTTTTTCCAGCCTGACCCTATATCCGCTAACATTGCTCGTCGAGGGAGGCGATGGCTTGGCATACGTAACACATGTCCTAACCATCTCAGTCTTTGTAGCTTCACGACTTCGTCGATTGATTTCCCCTGTTTACCTAGAACTCTACGCCTAACCTCCATGTTGCTCACCTTATTATGCCACTTTACACGGGAAATAGAACGCAGGCACCTATGATCAAAGACAGCTAGTCTTTTCATGTCTTCCACTCTCAGTGGCCAGGTCTCACAACCATAAAGGAGGACGGAGCGGACTGATGAGCAGTACACCCGCCCTTTGGTCGATAGTCGAACATCTCGTCTACGCCAGAGTCGGCGTAAACTAACAAATGCGAAACGAGCCCCTTGTATTCGTGCTGAGATTTCGTCAGAGATCAGCCCGTTGGGGCTGATGGTACTTCCCAAATAAGTGAAGCGGTCAACGTGCTCTACCACTTCACTTCCTATTTTTAAACTAGGCGTCGATGTAGTCCAGTCCTGTAACATCATCTTGCATTTGGCGGGAGCGAATCGCATGCCAAACATTCGTAGATTGCGGCTCAAGGTGTTTAGAAGACTCTGCATTTCGTCAGCGTCTTCGCCTAGAAGGACTATATCGTCTGCATATTCCAAGTCAACGAGATTATTCCCGGTAGCAAGTCAATCCCTGAGTCGCTGAAGTCACCTAGGGTTAAGTCCATTAACACATCTATGATGAAGTTGAATAGAAAAGGAGATAATGGGCATCCTTGACGGACACCACTGGTCGTCATCAGTTCAGATGACAGCTCGCCGTAAGCCCTCACCTGGCTGTATGAGTACGAGTAGAGTGCCTTAATCAGTGCAATATATTTTCTTGGAATTCCCTTTACAGCCAAGCATCTCCAGAGAACTTCCCGATCGACAGAGTCGAATGCTGCCTTTAGGTCAAGAAATATAATGACTGTTGGACGCCGGTAGGAATGCCTATGTTCTAGAATCTGTCGGAGGGTGAAGATATGATCAATACACCCTCTTCCTGGTCTAAAGCCTGCCTGGCTCTCTCGTGTTTGTGCTTCCCGAGCACCACTCAGTCTACGCATGATTATTGAGCCTAAGACTTTAGATACTATATTAGTCAAGCTAATCCCTCTGTGATTATCACAGGAAGACTTGTCTCCCTTCTTGTATATGGGGATAATCAGTGACTTACACCAACCCGATGGGACTTCTTCTGATTCCCAGACGCTGCCTAGTACCTCAGTTAATCCGGACAGTAAGCTGTCTCCACCGTACTTAAATACCTCTGGAGTCATTCCATCAGGTCCCGCTGCTTTGCCTAGTTTCAGATTGGTGACAGCTTTAGTAACCTCAGTTAGTGACGGAGGACCTGTGTCTATATCCCATTCAGGGAGGTGTTGGATGCTCGGAAGGTTGAGCGTGGCTGTGGGCAAATTAAACTGCTCCTCATAATGCTCTTTCCAACGATCCAGTCGTCTATCCTGTGAGCTAATTATAGTGCCATTTTTTTCCGAGATTGTCTCACTGATGATTTGTCTTCTCCCACCCGTTTCCCTGATGAGTCCAAAGAGTTGCCTGGTGTTGCCTATCCTCGAAGCTTTCTCCATCTCTTTGGCTTTTGTCGCCCACCACTGTTCACGGTCCTTGCGGAGACTTTTCGTAAGTTTCCTCTTGTGCAGCTTTCGCTCCTCATTGAATTCGGAGCTCGCCGGAATAAGTCTTCTAGCATCTATCAGTTCGGATGAGGCGGTGGAGATCCAGTGGTTTTTACTCACCTTTGGGTTTACCTTATTCACAGCTTTTACAGCTGTATCTATGGCTGCCTGGATATTTTTCCAAGCTTCTTCAGGGTGAGCACAGCTGTCGAACACAGATATGTGTTTAGCTAGTTCTTCCTCAAATACGGATTTAGTTTCCTGATCGAGCTGGGGACGTGATGGTTTTACCGCCAGCTGTTTCCTACGTCAATTGTAGAGATCATCAAGAACCAGGGGGAGTACTACTAGACAGTCGTTTTGACCCACGACTCCACCAGGGATGATGGAACCCGAGACCAAGCTTGTTGTGACCATTCAGCAACCATTTGGGCTGGTGGAATTTAATGACCTCTGAATTCTAACTTTGTCATTTCGTGATGTTGTGTAGTGCTGCTACCCCTACGAATACCTTCAGATGAGCATCCATTTTACCTTTGTCATTGTGGGATATCCCACTGGTGACAACTGGAAATCGTTAGTCACTACTTTATTGCAATTCAGTGGTGATAAAGTGATAAAGTGATTACCTTGTTAACCTCTTGTTTCTTTGTATTCTTCATCTGCCTGCCAGTGTCTTGAGTCTCTGCTGTCAAGAAACTTTCAGCTAAGACACGGTCAGAGCTATCTTATGCTCTCTGGTTTTATATATAGTTATCCAGCTGATAACTATGTGTTATGTATGCCTATTCATCGCCTTCCTCGACAACTGGCACTGTTAGCTAACATAGGGTCAGGCTGGAAAAGAGCTACCACGTTGTGGTCAAACCAAAACATGGCCTCATCAGTCAATAAAATCCACAACAGTTAGTTTAAGCCAGTCACATGGGAAGATGTAGAGTTCCTGACTAGTTGGGGTCCTCGGGACGGTAAACACCAATTAAGGCAGGAGACAAATGGTGATATGGCCCAAAATCATCCTCAATGGCTACCTCAGATGCATCCACTCCTTGTGACTTATGATTTCCGGTGAGACTGTTTTGTTCTTCGTTACTACTATTCCTTTGTCTCACACCTCTGTTTACTGTCTCAATTATGCATTCCTTGTACTTTCTTCTGTTGCTTTGTGTGCTACAAGGAAGGAGTGTGGCGACTTAAACTGTCGCACATATGTGCAAAGTTCTATGTGGAAAACAGACAGACAGACAGCTGATAATCAGCAATATGATAAAAATTCATCTTCGTAACAGTTTGTGAATCATTGACAAAAGACCTTATTACTATTTTTTTTAAATTTCAGCTTGATTCCACACCGTATATTTATGGTACAGGTGTGGAATTTTCAGCATGTGATAACGGTAACCCAAATTTTGCAGGCCGACCATAGATATCAGGTGTGCTTCGTCGGCAGAGGATCGAACTCTAGACCATGTGCATGGTTGGCGAGAGTCCTATCCACTGTGCCACCGACGCACGTATAACTATTTTCAGTCAGTTCAAAAAATTTATATTCACCAGCTTATTTATTTATATCCTTCTGCTATTTGTTGTTTTTGTAGTATGCTCGGGTTTATTAGTCAACGCCTATCCAGATGCCAATTCATGTGAAGAATTCCTACAGATATTGGAAATGATTTTAAGTCATGTAGTAAGTGGGAAGTTATACTGTAATTATTTATAAAATAACGTTTCCGATTTTATGTAAGTGGATTGGATACAATACAGTATTGTTGAATGAATATATTTCGAGAGCAATTTGTTATTATTATTATCAGTGCCAGGCTGAGAGACTCGGTACTCTGTCCCTCTAGTAGGCGGTCGGAGTTGTTGGGGTAGGTTGTTATAAGAAAAGGTGTGGCGTTTCAACTAATTTTAATGAGAATTAATGACGTCATCACCTAGTTGCTGAAATCTTTCAATGATGAACAGGTTATTTAGAGGACGTACTTATAACATGACAATAGTCTCTGTGATGAATCATTTAGAATACTGAGTTTCCCCAATTATCGCTTCATTTTAGGTGGATATTCAGCTCTTCTAGCATCATTATTGTATAGAATAGGTGTGCACAGCATCAATTATTTTTGTTCTGAATATTTATTTATTTAGGAAATAATTGGGAAATCAGGGAGTACTTACTAGGCAGCTGTTTCGTCCTAGTTCGGCACCCTTCACAGCTAGTACTGACCACCGGGGTACGAACCTAGCAACTCCCGACTACAAAACTAGCTCATAGACAACTGAGCCATTGGGGCCTAATCCAAATTCTCATGAATTAAACTTCTGCTAGTTAGCAATATTTCTCAGAACCACCAAACAGCAGTTTCGTAGGCGGATAACTGTCTTCTTACCTGACTTGGTAGACCCCTCCGGTCTGGTTACGATTTTTCACTAGAACTGCAGAATCAGTTGCTAGTGAGTATCCGATTAGTTAAGGGAACCACTGGGAAATCAACGAGTACTAGGGGGCAGCTGTTTCTTCCTAGTTTGGGGCTCTTTGACAGCATGCATCCACTGGGCTTCCAGCCCATTATCTTTCGGTTAGGGTCTGGGTTGGTGAGTGGTCTATGTCTTCGTCTTATAACCGGAAGGTCTGGGTTCAAACCCTAATGACGTTCATACTGTTGAAAATAATTATATTTGGAATCAGGAAAACTCCCGTATTTTTTAAAAATAATATTTTTTGCATGAGCTACGGTAATGTTCATACTATCAAAAAAATTTATTCTGTTTCATCTTATCAACATCGAAGGACCTTGAACAAAGCTTGGAATGGCAGTCACTTCTCTATCTCACCTTCGTCGACTTTGAATAGGCATTCGACAGCATCGATCGAGAGGTGATTTGGAAACTACTTCGCCACCACCAAGGGGTGCCACCGACAATTATACATCTCATCTAACAGATATACGACAATGCTGTATGCCAAGTAATCCACAACGGGAAACTCACAGAATCCTTCGAAGTGAGGACGGGAGTGAGGCAAGGCTGTCTACTATCGCCAGTGATCGTCCTGATTGCAGTAGATTGGATAATGCTACAGACAGCGAGCGGGCAGCGAGGAAACAGGCATAAAATGGATCCACACAAAAAGAGACTTGTGGGATCTGGACTTCGCCGATGGTATATATCTGATTTCCTACAAACTGGAAGATATGCAAGTGAAAAGCAACAAGTTGGCAAAAGATCATTAAAGATAGACCCTCCCTTCAGGTGAACATAGAGAAAACAGAGGTGATGAAGATTCCTGGCCAACAGCAACAGCAACAACAGACAACAATCAGCATAAATGGGAGAAATCTGAAAGAAGCAACCTCCTTCACCTACCCACCCACCTACCTGAGAAGCATCGTTTCAACTACAGGCACCAGGAACTGACGAGGATATCAAAGCAGCGAGGATCGGGAAAGCAAGACAAGCTTTAATTACTCTCAAGTCTGTGTGCAGGAGGTAAACAGTCCCACTCAGCTCTCAGCATGAGAATGAAAATAAATCCGGATTTTCAACTCCAATATGAAGTCAGTCAGTGCTACTTACCATACGTACGGATCAGAAACTTGACCAGCGCGTCATAAAGAGCACCTCAAACAAACTACAGACCTTCATTAACAGTTAGCTTTGCTCATTACCATTCAACATCAGATGGCCGGTCAGAAAACATCACCAACAGGGAGGGATCTCTGGCAATCAGCGAACCAACCCAGCAGGAACCGATTCTGCAACAAACAGGCAGGAAGAAATGGAGATGGATTGGCTGGCCATACTCTGTGAGGAAACAAACCATCAAGTGACATCACTAGACCACCCATCTCTCGAGTGGAATCCGACCGAAAGGGAAGCGGCGAGTTGGTCTTCCGAAGGTGTAGTGACTTGGAGGGGGTCATGTGAAGAGGAGATGAAAGCATGTGGGCAGACGTGGAGCGGGGTGAGAAAGTTGGCAGAAAACTGGAGGGAATGGAGACGCGTGGCTGAAGCCTTATGTTCCTCTAGGAACGAAAGGAAATAATAATAATAATATCAACATCGAAATATATAACCTATTAGGAATTATACTTTCAAATGTTTAATTAGTATTTTTGTAGTAGTACTCATACATCACTTAGAAACTATTTTTTATTGTTCACCTAACCAACCGCTGTCTACTTCACTATTTAGGCTTTCAGTGAACAACAGAAAAAGCTTGTCTTATTTTGGAAACATCGTGTACTTGTTGTCTATGGTCAATATTTAAATCATCATTCTCATGCATATTCATCAAAATCTAAATCTGATTCTACTAATTATAATTATTGTCCTCGTTCTGTATCACAAGTTCATTATTTTGATAATCGATTTCGTAAATATCCAACTCATTATGCCAGTCAAGAACAACGAACAAATTCTAATCATTTGGGCTATAATAAAACGTTACAGATAAATTCTCTCTCTCCTTCCAGTGTTTGTTTTCATAATATTCAGGATACATCACGCCTTACTATGGATAGTTTAGAAGTACCATCACAATCAATGGTTGATGCCAGCTCAATCCACTCGAATACATCTTTAAACATTCCTGTAACAGCAGAGATATCACGACGACATAGTGTTTCTGTAGGTGATCCTCAAAACCATCTAATAGTTGGTAAATCGATCAACAGGCGTAGAATGCCTAGTCCAAATTCACCGTGTTTTTCATCAGGTAGAAGTGGTATACCAGGGAATCTTAACTCACTTAATTTAGGCTATACAAACCATCCACAAGCATCTTCTGATATGGAGTTATCTGGTTATCCATCACAACTGCCGAAACCACGTTTTCATAGCCCATCAAGATTTGATCCATCCATCAATATAACATCACGCCGAAACTTGATACCTTTAGCGACAGCTCCAGTTACTAGGATGCCTTCGCCGTCTGATGTTTGTCGTAACAGTAATCAGTGTAGTGATTGGCTACCTCCTAATAACAGATTTGTATTTCCAATGGCTCCTTTCACCTCGAGTATTTCACCGCTGTCAACATGTGAAGGATCTTGTTCAGATCACGTGAATCCTGACAGTCATCTACTACAGCAATTACAAACTCCAAATGTTCCAATTTGTATGCTATCACTTCAAAATGCATATCAGAACGTAAGTAGACATATCCAAGTACATTTATAGAATCAGTTTGATAATTTTCTGTATTGATTTATAATCATAGTGTAGCCTTTCAACACAGTATTCTCACAGCTAATGCTATGAAAAACTAACCATCTCTGGTTAACTTTCATATAGTTTGTACCATTTATGTATCAAGTTTGACCACACATTGAGTTCACTTAGATAACCACTGAAAAACCAGGGGTGTAATGGACAGTCGTTTCGTCCTAGTTTGGGCTCTTCAACGGTAGACAGCCATGGCTCCTACCGGTGGCCGAATCTAGGACTGAATTTCAAGTTTTATGATGCAAGCGCGTATACCATTCAGCTGTTGAGATGGGATCTAATGGCCCAAGAATTTTAGATTCTATCAGTTCGCGATTTTAGAGACTCAGGGATTGACTTGCTACCAGGGAATAATTACGTTGACTTAGAATATGCAGACGATATAGTCCTTCTAGGCGAGGACGCTGACAAAATGCAGAGTCTTCTGAACACCTTGACCGCCTGACCATCTTCGAGTGTTTGGCATGCAACTTGCTCCCTCTGTCAAATGTAAGATGATGTTACAGGACTGGACTGGACTACACTGACTCCTAGTTTAGAAATAGGGAGTGAAGTGGTAGAGCACGTTGACCACTTCACTTATTTGGGAAGTACCATCAGCCAGTGCCGACGGGTTGATCTCTGACGAAATCTCAGTACGGATACAGAGGGCTAGTTTCGCATATCCCAGTTTACGCCGTCTCTGGCTTAGTAGACGTAATATCTGGGTATCGAACAAACGGCGAGTGTACTGCTCATCAGTCCGCTCCATATCCTCCTTTATGGCTGTGAGACCTGGCTGGTCATTGAGAGTGGAAGACATGAAAAGATTAGCTGTCTTTGATCATAGGTGCCTGAGCTCTATCCCCCGTGTGAAGTGGTATAATAAGGTGAGCAATATTGAGGTAAGGCGTCAGTCGAGTGCTAGGTAGGTGGGAGGGGAAATCATTCGAGGAGGCTGTGAAGCTACACCGACTGAGATGGTTAGGACATGTGTTACGTATGTCTAGTCATCGCCTTCCTCGACAACAGGCAATGTTAGCTGACATAGGGTCAGGCTGGAAAAGAGTAAGCGGTGATCAAACCAAAACATGGCCTCACCAGTCAATAAAATCCACAACACTTAGTTTAAGCCAGCCATACAGGAAGGTGTAGACTTCCTGACTGGTTGGGTTCCTCGGGACGGTAAGAACCAAGGAACGCTGGAGACAATTGGTGATATGGCTCAAAATCGTTCTCAATGGCTAGCGAAGATGCATGCACTCCTTGTGACTTATGATTTCCCGTGAGACTGTTTTGTTCTTCGTTATTACTATTCCTTTGTCTCACACCTCTGTTTACTGTCTCAATTATGCATTTATTGTACTTTCTTCTGTTGCTTTGTGTGCTACAAGGAAGGAGTGTGGCGACTTGAACTGGTGCACATCGGTGCAAAGTTCTATGTTGAAAACAGACAGACAGACAGTAACAATAAAGACAAAAATGTGCAAAATAATCATAATAATGGTAACTAGAATGATACAATGGTTGAAATAGTGTCACTATAAATTGTAGATAAGAGAATATAAAAGAGCCATTTGTCTTGGTAATTACATAGAGTTATAAGTCTCGCGCTTGACACTTTCACTATCACAGAAAGAAGGTTGGTCACATAGAGCAGGGGGGTATCGTTGTTTCTTTTTTAGAATAATAATAATAACTTCTAGTCCTACTTGATGAGAAACAGCAGGGGGAGAGTTGTGAATAAAGTGGCGATGTTCAAAGTCAGACAATATGTAATTTAGATCATTCCTCATATGAATTTTTGGGTGTCTGTCGACTACACTAGTAACGAGAACATCTCACTTACCCTACTGACAACCATTTAATTATCCTTCACAATATGACGTTGTTTTTGAATATCCCCGGAAAGACTCAAGCCGAGCAATAAAATAAAGAAAACTAGCTAGTATCCAAGAGTTAACAATTTGTGAAAGTAGAGGTTGTGTGATTTTCTGAATGACTTAACTTCTTAATTATAGGAATTTATTTCGGAGATTTTCTTAGAGATCATCAACTTAGTTTCTGTTTCAGTGCCACCTATGCTACAAGCATCATGTGGACGAACAAGTTCGTGTAGATCACGTTTATGCTTGATGTTGATGAAGTTGACTGTCTTACATTTGGACTACCGACTGGGCGATATTTAGGAATGCATCGACTGTCTATCGAAACCCTGACCTGACTATATACGCTGTTGGAGAGTGTTCTACCGATGCATCAGATATTCTAAGTATCCATCTATTATTCTGATAATTTTATGAGGTTTTGTTGTCTTCTTAGTCAAAGTATTAATATATGTGTAAAACTTGGGCACTGTGGTAGTAAGTAATTTCATATTAGTTTGTTTATTAGATGTATCACACAGTGATGAAACAGTATTATCTCCTGGATGACACAGTTTCGAACACGATTCATTATTGTTCATAATCATATCAATTGTAATCACACGACTTTGAAACTTGAGTTTTATAGTTTTCTTTTTCCTCTCCTATCGGTCGTCTTTGGGGTAGTAGAATTTTCCAAATGTTCTGGTGGACAGGTGTTGAATCAATCTTATTACATGTATTCTCTTCATTTGATTCGATAAACAAAAGTTCCATTATCAATCTCTCCCTCCACTCTGTTGTCATATTAGATTTTAAAACTGTCATCCTATCCCGTCCTATTGTATGGTTGTGTGTAACAGCATGTACTGAGTATTACAGCTGAACTATTCTCTAGATTTCTTATCTTATTTGGGTCAACCAATCTAAATTTTGCTAGGTTTTTATATTCGGCTAGTCTGACTGCCCCTGTTCTACTAGTGTGCCGGACGGTAAAAATCTATGGTTGGAAACAATTGGTGACATGGCTCAAAACCGTTCTCAGTGGCTAGCGCAGATGCATCCACTCCCTGTGACTTATGATCTTCAATGAAACTGTTTTGTATTTCTTTATTACTCCTTTGTCTCACACCTCTGCTCACTGTTTGTATCATGCTTTTCTTGTACTTTCTTCTCTTGCTTCGCGTGCTACTCGGAATGTGGCGACTTGAACTTCCGCACATTTGTGCAAAGTTCTATGTCGAAAACAGACAGACAGACTAGTGTGACCTGTGTTTTTCATCTGACAATCATTGAAGGCAGGGTATTAGATAAACTAAATTGTTTTGTTTTAAGGGCTCCACAGAATTGATCCTTTAATCGACAAAGCTTGTTTCTAATTGAGTTTATGGGTTTCAATGCCAGCCACTTTTATTCCTGCCTTGTTAAAAATTCTGCTTCAGGCTTCCAAAGTCCCTTCCTTGTATGGAATTACTACTGATGATTTAGATTCCTTATTTTTGGTGTCGTCATTAATATTGTTATTATTATCACTATTATTAGTCATTATTATTGTTATCTTTATTATTATTATTGCTATCGCTACCATCATTAATTAATTTATTTTTACGTTTCCTTACATATTTCCTGACTAATTTATTATTCGGGTAATTATTACGTTTCAAGTCTTCTTTTATGTATATCACTTCCTGTCCTAGATTTTTCTTGGTACTACTTAGTTTTTGCGCCCTACTGTCACTTAAACACTTCACCAATCCTATTTTTTACTGACTTGGGATGGGATGATCGGAAGTCCAAATATCTGTTTGAATGTGTGGGTTTCCTGTGAACACTAGTGTTGAACTTCCCATCTTCTTTCCTTTTTTTACCCTAAAATCTAACATTGGAACTCCCCTCCCTGACTTTCCAATTCATAAGTGAATTGAATCGCCTCTACCTTCGAGTTGATGTGTTCACAAATTATTTGTTCGAAACTGTGTCATCCAGTAAATAATACTGTTTCACACTATGTGTGATACATCTTTTAAACAAACTAATATGGGGTTAAAGGTCAAAGTGTTCTATTTGACATTTCTTTTGTTTGTTTTTTCTTTCTCATAAATTGACAGACTTATGGTTCGTGTAGTTGTCTACCGCCTACAAAGACAAACCCGCATCCACCCTTAATGTTAAGCTCATCTAATCATCCAAAAGGCAATCTTCTTCAAAATAATACTATTCAGCCTAATTTTGATGGGAATTCAAGAAAAAACTTTTTATCTACCCTGAATAATAATAGTAATAATTATTCATCAATTCCGTGTATTCCCCATTCAGTTGTAACGAATTCCGGTAATAATACTATTCATCCAACACCGATTTCATCCTACAAGTCAACATCAACATTAATTGGAAATAATCCATTGAATTCATCGAGTTGTTCAACTGATAAGTCAACACAGCCGTATGTATCATCAATACCACAAGAGGTGAACAACATTCCAACAGTTGGTGGTTGTGGTGGCGGTGTTGGTTATTGGTCAAATAACTTTCCTGCAAATCAACAAGCTAGTCGAAATCAAAAAATCTCTTCAGTACATGAGATCCAGTGTTTACATCCTCATCTTTACGATTCAAATAATGATGATAATAATAACAGTCATAATCATAATAGTAATAATAATAATAATACTAGTAATAAAGATTTACTTGTCTTTGTTGATAATTATATTGCTACTGCAGAGAATAATAATATTATTATAGGCGGGGATTCTTCTGATGCATCAAATAATGATCGAATCAATAGAGATTTAGATTTACTTACACGTGAAGTTACAGAACATGCTATAGGTGGTAAGTAGTTGCACTTCTCTTATTGTATCGTTGTTTTTTTTTCATTGTCTTTAATTTCTTGACAATATTGCGCCATGTTGTGGCGTGTACTACTGATAAGACGACTTGTCAGCAGTATATATATATATATATATATATATATATATATATATATATATATATATATATATATATAGTAGATAAAGAGATGTTCATCGGCAGGGAGATAGGTTTGATTTCATAGAAAGCAATTGGGATACAGCTCTGCGAAGATACATGGGAGACGTGAAGGGAATGTCAAGAAAGTACATTGTACTAATCGAAGCACTCTATTCAAACTCACGTAGCCGTGTCATCTGAATTGGTAACAACCAGTCGTGTCCGACAGGGATGTCCACTTTCCCCCATTTCTGTTTAACTTCATCATAGATATGCTGATGGAAGTATCCGTAACTGAAGGTAACGACTTAGGAATCAGCTTGTTCCCAGGGAATAGTCTTATCGGCCTTGAATATGCAGATGACATAATCCTGTTAGGGGAGGATGGTGACAAAATGCAGAATCTTCTGAACACCTTGAGCAGCAATCTTCGTATGTTTGGAATGCGATTCGCCCCTGTAAAATGTAAGATGCTGCTACAGGACTGGACTACGTCAACTCCTAGCTTAGTGATAGGGAGTGAAGTGATAGAACATGTTGACCATTTGACCTATCTGAGAAGTTGTATTAGCACCAACGGACTGATTGGCGACGGAATCTCAGCACGGATCCAAAAAGCTCGAGTTGCTTTCGCTAGCTTACACCATCCCTGGCGTTGGCGTGACATCCGGCTATCAACCAAGGGACGTGTGCACTGCTCACCGGTTCGCTCCGTTCTTGTCTATGGCTCTGAAACATGGCCAATACGAGTTAAAGACATGAAAAGGTTGACTGCTTTCGATCATAGATGTCTACGATCTCTGTCTCACGTTAGGTGGAATAATAAGGTAAGTAATGTTGACGTTAGGCGTAGAGTGTTGGGCAAAGAGAGAAAATCAATCGACGAGGCTATAAAGTTGCATAGATTGAGATGGCTAGGTTACGTGGTGCGCATGCCTAACCATCGTCCCACCCGACGGGCATTACTAGCTGATATAGGTGCAGGTTGGAAAAGAGTAAGTGGTGGCCAAACAAAAACATGGCCTCATCAATCCATGAAATCCTTGACAGTTAAACTGAGTCGGTCAGGTAGGGAGGGAGATGCAGACTTCCGGGTCGGGGCCCTCGGGACTGACTCTAGGAATCAATGGCTGGAGACAATAGGTGACATGTCTCAAAATCGTTGTCAATGACCAGCGCAGATGTATTCAGTCTCTGTAATCTTTCATATTCCTTTCTACCATTACTCATTCTGTTTCACTCTTATACTTGTCAGACTGTATTGATTCTCTTCACTCATCTTCTTGTCTACCTCTGTGTGCTATTTGGAAGGTGGCAACTCGAACTGCTGTACTTCGGTTCCAAGTTCTATGCTGAATCCAGACAGACAGACAGACCTGAAATTAACACAATATGAAGGCAGGCGAGAAGTAGCAGGCACAACACGGAAAGTCTGTTCGTTGGCGGTGCATTGAAGATAAGGTGTCCAGTAGAGACACCAAATTACAAATAATAAGGTCTTTCATCATTTTCCTGGCCTTTGTGTGTAATACTGGTGATACTGTTTCCAGTTGCCTAGGTTGAAGTGAGGTGAGATGAGATTCGAACTCGGGATCCATTTTCAAAATGTCGAGTATCTAACTTCAGCTACCAGTGAGCCACGTCTTTACATCATCATACGTAAGGAGAAGTGTTCATCACTTCCTGATCGTTTCACAAAATAGACAATGAGCCCATTCGCTGTTTAAGGTATGTAATTGGACATGCATGACTTGTGATCTCTGAGACAAGCACTTGACTACTGGCAGTATCAACTATTTTATTCGTATTAATCCTCTAGCTTGAAGTCCTATGTTCCACTGGGAATGTAAAGGAAATAAAAAATATTGTCGAATCAGAATTTATTTCAAAAATTTTTGAGTTTTTATTATATATATATTTTTTGTCCTTCATTATGTGAGAAAATAGTGTTGCTAAAGTTTAAAAAAAAAAGCAAAATAGTCGAATTTGTCGTTAAAGCATACAGATAGATTCTGTGTCAGCTTCATTCACCTAGTTTGATTATATCCTTTCTTCTTCTCTCTTCTTTTCTTTCCCTCCCCAACTAAGGTTTCGATTCTGCAACTGAATAATTAGACGTAAGGGGGATGTCTTTACAATGCGCCTGAATGGATTGCGTCAATTTGGTTAGCATTTTATTTTTATTATGTGTGATAGATAAATCCATATAATAATTTTAAGTTATCATTTCTATGTGTTGGTGGATAATCTTCCCCCTCCCCCCCCGCCTATTTGTTTTCCTTTAATTTTTTGCGCCAGTTTTGTCATAAAATATTGTTTTAAATTCAATTTTTAGTCTCTGTTTGTTTTATCCTTATTCACAAGTATCTCTTAGTACATATACATATGTATTACTATTATCATTGTTATTATTATTACTATTAATCTTTATTTTTATTTATCTAATTGTCGTAACTAAATCCACTTTATTCTTTCTGATAAATATTGTGGAGTTTATCCTTATAATTGTGTTTTGTTTCTCAAGCAATAATAATAATATTCATAAACTCTATCGGGGATTATTCGAAATGTATTCATTTACTTATTTATCTATCCATCTATCTATCAATGTCTCCTTGTTATCCAATCATGAATGTCTAAATCAGTGTACGGGGATGTCCTTGTCGACTGGTATCGACATGTGTACTGCTATAATATACATATATACATATACGAATACACTACAGCATTTATTTATTTATTTATTATTGCCAATTTTGTTTTTTGTTTTGTTTTTTTCAATTCCAAGATATACACTGTGTGTGTGTGTGCATGTGTTCCTTTTATGTGGTTTGAGTTTTTTTTCTCTTGTTTTGTTTTGTTTTAATTTTGTGAAGGCGGGCCCTTTAACTCTTTTAACACATTATATATTATAATAATAAGTCTTGTCACTTTTTTTTAGTTGGTTGTTTTTCTTTTTCCTCTGTCCATTGTTACTTTACTCGAATTTATTTGCATTTGTATTCTATCATACATACAGCAGAAAACGCAATAATAGTAATAACAATAATAATAATAATAATATGTGCTTTTAGTGACTCTTTTTATTATATTTATTTATTTTCTTGCATGACAATAGTGAAAATCTACATGGTATCGTATCTGGTTGTTTCTCAAAGGAATTGTGTACGGCACAGAAAACAGTATTATTATTATTGTTCCATTGGGTTCCTGGTGGAACACAAGGCTTCAACTGTACGTCTCCGATTGCCACTTCTGTCTTCCTTCTGCTGTACTTTTCACCTGCATCCATGTTAGTTCATACTGTTTCACACGATCTCTTCCATGTCACCCTTGCACTGACGTGTCCCACTCGCCGCTTCCTTTTCGGCCCGGTTCCACTCGAGCAATGGCCTGATGCGCGCGCGATGTCACCCAGCGCGTTGCCTCCTCAGCGAGTAGTGTCCAATCCATCTCCATCCACTTTCTCTTGCATATTTGTTGGTTGGCGATTGGTTCTTGTTTTGTTTCTTCCCATAGTTTTTTGTTGGTGATTCTTTCCGGCTTGGTCATCTGATCTTCAATATAGAGCCAGCGAAGACAGTTGTTGATAAAGGTCTGGTCTGCAATAGCCTGTTGATGGAAATATTCTTTGTGACCCGCTCACCAACTTTCTGATCCGTATAGAAGAACTGACTGGCTTGACGTTTGTATTGAATTTGTAACCCAATCTTGTTGTTGATGCTGAGTGACGAAGATTTCCAGATTGGTTTCAGGTTGATGAATGTGTGTGTGTTTCTCGCCTTTTGGATTCTCGGTTTGACATCCTCGTCCGTTCCTCTGGCCTTCATTTGAGACAATGCTCCCTAGATAAGTGAATGAATTAACCTTTTTCAAATCCCTCCTGTTGATGGTGATTGTTGCTGGATGTTTCTGCTGTTGTTGTTGTTATTGGTTGGTTGGTTGGTTATTTTCATAACCTCCGTGTTGTCTATGTTCACCTGGAGTCCTGTCTTCACTGTCTGCTTCTTCGACCAGTTTGTCGGTCGGTTTTCGCTTGAAGGTTTTCCGTTTTGTGACAGTGACATCAAACATAAATCATCCACGCGCGAAATCCAACTCTTCTAGATTCTTCACGTCGATCCAGGATATCCCTGTCTTCTCGTTTCCCACTGCACTGTCTGATGCATAATCCAGTTCACCACAATTAGGAATATCATTGGGGATAATAGGCAGGCAGTTTTGTCTGACTCCTGTAATACACTCCACTTTTCTTTGTTGTTGTGGTCTTTGAAACTGGAAGATATGAAAAAGGTTGACTGCCTGAGTTTCAGCATAACAACTCGAACAAAAGTGCAACAGTTCCAGTTGCCACAGTACTCTGTGTAGTAAATAAAAGGTTTAAATGTATGTATGGGAGGGGGTCACAGAGAGCCAATGCATCTGAGCCAGTCATATGACGCTTTTTACTCATATCACTAATTGTCTCCAGCCATCGGTTTGTTAAAGAATCCTGAGGATGCCAACCAGCTAGTTTATTTACCTGCTTATGTGTGGCTGTTTTCACAAACTAACTAAGTGTTAGAAGTTTCATAGACAGATTCCATGTTTTGGTTTGTCCACCAACCTTATCTTGTATGTCAGCCAGTTGTCGTGTACTACAGGTGTCTGTGCCTTCTGTCTCTCGTGTTTTGTGTTATGTATAACATGGATGACAGTATTGAAGTTAGACGTTGAGTGCTTGCTAGGTAAGGAAGAGAAGTCAATCGATGTAGCTCTACAACCCCACATCGGTTGAGATAGCTGTGGCATGTGTTACGGATTACAAGCTACCGGTTTCCTCGATGGGCGGGCAGTTTTAGCTGACATAAGGTTGGGTTAAAAAAGAACTAGTACTGGTCAAACCAAAACCTGGTATCACTTCATGACAGTTGGTTTAAACCATCTGCGTAATGTGTAAACTGCCTGGTTGCAGTCCTCGAGATTATACAAGAACCAATGGTTGGAGACAATGAGTGAGATACCTCAAAACCGTTGCGTAGATGCATTCACTCTTTGTGTTCTGTCATATCCAATAAACTCTCGTGTGTTCAATGTTTCTATCTCCATTCTTGCTCATATTTCTGCTAATTATTAGTTCTTTATAATTTTTTTTATTTTCGATTACAGCTTGATTCCACACTGTATTTTTGGTACAAATATGGAATTTTTAGCGGGGATATCGGTAGCCAAAATTTTGCAGGCCGACCATAGATATCAGGTGTGCGTCGGCAGGGGATCGAACCATGTGCATGGTCGGTGAGAGTCCTAACCAGTGTGCCACCGACGCTTTTCTTTATTTTTCTCTACCTTTGTGTGTGCTGTACAGAGTATGGCAACTGGAAATGTTGCACTTCGTGCTCAGTTCTAAGTGTGGAAACCCAGTCACATTTAGTGGCAGGATCCGTAGGCATTACATGATAACTACAAGGCGTTAGAGTTAGTATTCTCAGTTTATCAGTGAGAAGTGTTTCCCTAAAAATTAGATGTAGGTAACTGATAAGTTGTATTTTCATATATTCAGTAATCATAGAATTGACTGTTACAGCGGTATCCACTGTGTACAACTTTGGGATGTGAGATATGATGACAGTGGTTAAACCAAGGATATGTAGTATGTGTTAATTATAACTCAGTTGGTCTGACCCTTTACAAATGCCTACCATGTTTTGGTCATTATTCTGTACTGATTTTCAAATCATCCGCAATGCTTCTCTACTAGCAATAATAATAATAATTTACTTTATTCCAAGAAACAGTACTTATAATACAGAATGGAATTATCAGCATTTGTCACGATATTGCATCTGATTTACTTAAATATAAATATAATTAGAAATTAAAACAAAAGTAACCAGAGGAATTTGTTCACGTCTATGATATAAAGTCAAAAATATTCGAAGTACGAATTGAGATCATTAAATATAATAATAATAATAATAACAGTGAGTTTGTTTCAAACCGTATTGTCGATTCAGTTTTGAAACTTTAACATGTTATAGATTATTGGATCTAATGTTCTGTTTATATAGTATAGTAAGGGGAAATACAAAATTAAAACTTTTAACACAGCTTAATTGATGTTCACACTTATGAAAAATAAATAAATAACAAAAAATTGAGAGGATTATAAATATAAGAAATACGATAACAATAAAGTTTGGTACTGTAAGGGTGGAAGAAATGGTTTATTTAATAGTGTTAAGAAGGTTAGTTAGTTCATGCCTGACACTATTTTCATCACATAAAGTACGTTCTAAATATGGTATAAAGATTATGATGTACAGTCGTATATATATGGTTTTTAATAAGTTATATCCGGTGAGGGAATCGAATCTTAAGTGTGAATGCATAAAATAATCATATGAAGTTCAATTAAAACTGAAATGTTTGTGATTATAATCGCAGTTAAATGTCAAGTGGCAAAGCAGATTAATGCCATACATAGAATAATTCATAGGAGGGATAGAACTTGAAAAAGGATGCACAATTATAGGATTAGTAGACAAATCGAATAAAACAAAAACGTTACGTAATATTGTGTGAAATTTAATAGCATAGAATTTGAATAAGGCATTAAGAAGACAAATTTCGCGAAATGATATCATTTCGTAGTTTCTTTACAACCGCTTTACAACTAACATGGTTAACAATGATAAAATAAAATTCATGAAAATTACTCAGTTAAATAAAAACAAAAGTACATACTAATGACCAATCATATTCAGATAGGTCATGTAGTCCAGGGTAGGCGAAGATTGAAGTCCATCGATTTTTTTACACACAGTTTAGGCTGTATGTGACTAATCCAAAGTGCTTCCATCACCTTCAATAATCTTGAATTAGAGTTAAGTGTGAAATAATTGTGAAACAGTCATTAATATTGATTTTGTGACCAGACATTAATAAGTGTTTTGCAATGGATGATGCTGGATTTCTATTCAGATTAATCGCGTTAGGATTTTCGATATGATTTACTAGCCATTTTGGAATATGTTCTTTTCGACGACATTGGAACATTCTGTTAGTTCTACCTATATAGGTGTCACCGCAGCTGCAGGTGAACTTGTAGATACAGTTTGAAGTAGAGTCCACAGAATTTCGTCCTTTAATCGTAGGAACAGGGATCGAAAATGTTCGGCAAGTGAGAAAAAGAGATGTGGCGGCGTAGAATGTGCGTTTGATGGCTGATCGAAGTCTTTGAGCTGTCAACTGCATAATCTGGTCGCCCTTGAATGGTAGATTAATAAAGATGGCTTTCTTTGGTACAGAAGCTGTCTTTTCAAGATGTGGTCTATCCTTACCGTGACTTTATCGTTGTAAAAAAGAATCGATTTAGAATGACAAGTGAAATAATGCCGGGGACAGTTTAAAGTGAGAATAGTAATAATAACAATTGACTTAATAAGGAAGAGTATACAAATTGAATAAACAAAATGAAAAATTGGTAGAGCTAAAATATGATTGGGGATTACCATATTTTAGCATAGAGGGATTAAGACTATGAAAGTTGGAGGGGTTGAACGAACATTTTTCAAGTTCTATTCCTTCTTATGAATTATTCTATATATGACATTAATCTGCTTTGCCACTTGACATTTAACTGCGATTATAATCACAAACATTTCAGTTTTAATTGAACTTCATATGATTATTTTATGCATTCACACTTAGGATTCAATTCCCTCACCAGATATATATACGACTGTACAGCATAATCTTTAGCCTGAAAATGTGAAGTATTATTTAATTCAACTTTAAATATGGTATAGTGCAATTTTTATACTTAGACGTTCGGGCATAAGTTCTTCTGAAAAGACTTCTTGTTTTACCTGAGGAGACACAAGGTTGGAGCTGCGGGTACAATGGGTGCTCAGAGTCTGACAAAATCTCTTTAGCAAATTTGTTGCATGACATCAAGTGCCTATCCGTGACAATGTCAACGATATGGCCCAATGGGATACCACTCGTCCTAGTGACAGCATTCAGAGTTCTACGAATTATGACATAGTCTTTTTTAAGCAATCCAGGAAAGAATAAGGGTGTACAGTAAAGAAGAATGTGTAAAATACACGAGTTGACAAACTG